ACAACTAAAGCAAACCCTATATTAGCTTAATTAGTATCAGAGCGTATAAAAGAGCTGGCAACATTCAACAGAGTTAAACCAGTATTATTATTTTTTTTAATTATTTGGGAAACAGACCTTTTCAACAGCGCACACTTGGTATGATTTAAGCAGCTCAGACACTGTGTGTGAAAGAAATCAGTTAGCTATGACAGTGACAGTGAGCCAGCGTGACAATACCAGAACAATGAGGATAATGAAGCGACAGAAAATGAAGTTCAGTCATAATTATTGTTTTCTACTTGTGTTTTGTTTTACTGCGAAATAATATATTGCTTTTAGTGGTTTGTTTGGTGGGAATTCCAATTATCCAATTTTTTATGACATCTCTTGTTACTGTGGAGTCTGCATGCACTTACAGCAAGTCGCTGTGGACAAAAGCTGCTGCCAAAAGAACATAATGTGTCAAGAGCAGAGAAACTGTTTATAGCTTTGTAACATGCAATTTGCTCTTCACCTCCAAGAGGCCGAGTTAAGCTTTAAAAGGGAGAAATAAGATGTCTGTGACAAAAACACATCAGCACTTCTACAAACTTGCATAAAGCTTTTCATTTTTTAACAAAACTTTGTCTGTGTTTTACTGTACTCGTGTTCAAAGGGCATGGAGGCTCTTGTTAGAAGCTTCTGTGAAGAACTAGATATCAAACAAACTGGAATTAATACTGGTGTCTCTGTGACATTCAAGAGCAAACAAGACCAACAGAGACAAGACTGATGATTTCTAAATGCTTATTTTTAATACCTATAACAGCTGCCACAAGGTAGGTGTCAATCAAGGGTAACAGTCTTTTTGGTTTTCTTCACATTTACAACCTTCGATGTGGATGTTGATTTGAAAAACAATGATCAAAACTTTATATTTGTCAAATTCAGTTGTCCATAAACATCTGAATGTCCACTGCCTGACCTTCAGTCAGCATCTGTGCTGGGGTCCGAGCCTTATCGATGAGTAGGTCCTGGACAACTCAGCTGTAAAAGCCACATCTGTATAATTACAGGACGTCAGGGATTTGTTTCCAAAATCAAGTTTTTAAGTTCTCTGAGATGAACTCATAAGTATTACAAAGTTTACCACTTTGTCTACAGGGGCAGGGCTCGACAGTGCGACCATTTCTCACATCTCAACTCACATTTGCGAGTAAAAATAGATGAGTGCCAATTGTAAAATGTATTTAGTGCACATGTGCGCATAAAAAAATTAGCCTAGGCAACAAATGTTTTTCCATGTAAATACCACGGTGAAGTTAGACTTAGGTTGGATATTTGACAGACATTCACTGAGGATCTACCGGTGCCTTCTCACTCTCCATAACCGGGAATAACAAGAGCAGCGCGGTTTAATCTACTCGGCACCCTCGCTGTGAATATCAGGTGTTGAATAAGGGACCATCAATAAATTACCGGTTGATGTTCTCAGAAAAGGCTGTTTTCCTTCAATAGCTTCCATATCATGTGACAAATTGACCTTAAATTGATTTCAAATATGTCGACTAATAAGACACACCTCTTTATTTCCCTCATTTGTCCTCATAAAATTTTTGTGTTAAATTTAAAGGCAATTTTGAACATTTTCCTCAATAGCTTCCATGTCATGTGACTAAAAGACCTAAAATTGATTTCAAATAATAGTACTTACGTCGACCAATAAGACACACATTATTTGATCAATTTTCATTGTGCCCCTAAAGTTCTTTGTATGCTCCTTACTTTTTCAACTTAGGAGAACATGTGTGCTCCTTAGGAACAGAGTTAGTGTCAAGCCCTGAGGAGGCACCAAAGTCAACACAGACAGAAAGCCCCTTACAGGTGCTTTAACTGTTATCAAAGTTTCGCTCTAATTTTGAAACTAAACATGTCCAATCATATCCCATACCACGATTAATCTCTGTCAATTTTTTTCCAATCTCTTTTGAGCAACATTTGGCTCAGTTTTCTGACAACAGATCACAGCAAAGCATTGCAGGAATAAATGTTTCGTTCTTGGTTTTTATCGGTGGCAGTAGCAGGAGGTGCAGTCGTATGAAAGGATTAGGACAGGAATTAGGATTATTTTAGGGACAGACAAGCCAAACTTATATTACACTCTGAAGTGATGCTTCTTACTCTATGAGGAGCGCTCATGTTTCATTATTGGAAAATTACACCATGTTATCGTAGCTTGGGTGTCTGAATGTGATTTGGAACATCATTACACTGAGACAGCTCTTTCCATCTATTTTTAGGTCTTTCTACTATCACATCATCTTCTGTCAGGTTTAATTATGACAGGTATTGAAGTGACGAAGGTAACATTCGCACAAACCGTGTCAATATACACACAGAGACACCCACACAGACATGACAGACTGAAGATACATCTCTAATTAATTGCTGACATTGTCATTTATCCCTCTTCTCATTACACAGACATGATTTATTGTCAGTTCAGCTACCAAGGGAGCTGAATTTTATCATCTTTTCATTTTATACTCCACACATTTCAGAGTGAGTGTGAGTGTGTGTGTGTATTTCTGCAGCAACAGAGGGCACATTAGAGCAGAGTTTTAAGGCTTTGATATATGACCCACATTATGAGGAAATGTACCAGATGGGTAATACTGTGTACAATTACGACAATTACAGCTGAGGAGTACTTTTTCATTGCACTTTTTCTTGCTTATGGACCTATTCATTTTACAGAGAGATTTTACGATCTGTTCTGCTGCTAAAAAAGATATTGCTCATCTGTGCTGTATCTGACTGACGAAGGAAAAAATTGTGTTAAATCAACGAATGAAAAGAAGGCTCAGTTATGTGAAACGACCGTACAAAAAGGAGCCTTTAAATCTCCTTGACTAAACAGGACTGCTTGCATCTTTATTCATATGAAGGCATATCAGCACTTCTCAAAAGAATACTATCAGTGTCTTCAGTTAAAGTATGATCCTCTGATGCACAGAAGCAACAACAGCTTATTAGAGGCATACAAATCTGCTGTAACTACAGGATAGACCGCTAAAGGGCCCCTCTTCACACTTATGTCTTCATATCACTGTTGGCAGACAAATGTTAACTCTGTCTTTCAATGTAATGTGGCTAACATATCTGTGTGACCTGTAGGATATTGGTGTCACACAATGGAAGAAATGTCCCATTGAAATCCTGGCTTGACCCTCACCATCTCCAGTAGTATGTGTGGGAATTAGTGGCATCTAGTGGTAAGTTTGCAGACTGCAATTAACTCACAACCACACCCCTCACCCTCTCCTTACAAGCCTTTGAGGGAACTTGCAATGGCAAAAAAATAAATGGAAAATGCCTTTCAAAGCCAGCATTTAGTTTGTTGGTTTGAGTACCCCACTCAGTACAGTCAAAAAGGGGAGAGATGATAATAAACTCGCAGATGAGAAAATGAGCAGATGTGCCAATAACATACACCACACAAAAATCTGCCCAGTTTTATGTGAATTTACTGTTAAATGAATTATTCTACTGCAGACTGCAGAGCACCGATCATCATGTTATTATCCTATGGAGCTGCAGTTGCATGGACCAATTATTGACCATGGCCGTAACCATAGATAGTATAAAACATGGACATGATCTCACTGATGTCTCTCATTCCTCATGGTCTCATTTTATGTTGTAGGGTTCTTGTATTGTCTGGGTTCCTAATGACAAATGAAATTGGCCTTCAATTCAGAGGCCTTGTTTTTAACTGAACTTTGATTTTTTTATTTGTTTTTATTTCCATGTGCTGATGCTTTAAGACTGTTTGTCAAAGCACTTAGTAAACTCCTGTTTTTAAAAGTGCTATGAAAATAAAGTTATTATTGATTTCTGAAGCTGTTCATTAATTGACAATAAGGACTCAACCCAGTCTTTGGTTAAGCTGTTACAAGGTTAAGTAGTGGAGTTGTAGCAGGCTCTAGTCTCTGTGTTACAGTCATAGTGTATCTGAATCAGTCATAAATAAAACCTGGCTGCAGACATAAGAGAGCTCAAAAGTCATTTTTTAAATCTCAAACTTTCTGTGTAATATGACAAGACATAAATTAGTTTCCGCTAAGTCAAAGGAAACTGCCTGCTAAGAGAACAGCTTGAGGGAAAATGCCTCAAATCATCTTGTAATCACTTCTTATATTGAAAAATCAAACAAATTAACAACAAAGTCAAAGAAACAGAACTGAAAAGTTTTAACAAAGCAATTCACGACCAACAACACTGTGTATGGTACAAAGCACGAACAATAATAGTTAGCATTACACTGGACGAAGAAACAGACTACACCAGATAAAACCAAACAGTTAAAACGTTATGCAGCCATGGCCTTTAAACAAAACACACTTACTTGGCGAGGCAGGGAAGAGATATTTCAATTCCTGAAAGTACGGTCTTTAGAAAGAGTCACACTGGTCGTTAGAGCTCGTTAGCAACCCACGACAGCGCTGCTAGCTTGAAATGGCGGTTACTTCCGACGACGAGTACCATGGCAACCACAGCGAGCAGCTAGCATGAAGCTAACTTTGTTAACTCCGATTATACAACGAAGACACGACTAATCCGCAGAAACTTCGCCCTTAACAAATAAATCCCACTCTCATAGACAATTAAGCCTGTAAAATTATTGAATAAGATGTCCTCACTTCAAATTTTGTCTTTTAAAAGCATTTTCTTGTCTGACACCAACCCCTGTAGTTTATGTATTTTCAGTAAAGTTAGCATTATCAGTCTTTCTTCATGTAAATATCAGATTGTATGTCACATAAAATTTGGTAAAAATCAAGTTAAGTACATGTCATGTTCCTTTATTGTTTAAGTTTTTACTATCCATCCACTCAGTTCTGTCTAACACCAACTTGAATGTCACATTAATCCAAAATGCCATTTTATATGCACTCATCAAATGTGTATGTATTTTTAACTTGTGAACAAGTAAGTGTGGTACTAAGGACATGAGTTTAAATCAAGGACAAAACACATTTTGTTTGCATTATAATACTTTATTGAGACTCAATTCGTTCTAATTAAATGTTAATTGATAACGTGTACTGCAACAAAAGTTGGCTAGAAGTTGGGTTTATGTAAAATGGATGGCCACATATAAAGAAATAAAACAGTTTCAACACTGAATGCTGTACAAAAAACATGATATATTTTGGCAAAATCTAGTCTATTGGCTGTCAACAGGTTGTGATGATGGAGAAACATGGTTGGCTCACGTTAGACGCTGTTCTGTGCGTTTTGTGTGTTTTTGTGTCAGTATAACCACAGCATTTCTAACACCCTTCAGTCAATGGTGCAGTAGGACCATTTCCCAAATAGAAACCGTACTTTGTCACTGATGCAGTGATAATGGAAACAGTTTCAATGTGTGAACCACATGCACAACTAAATAATACACAAAGCCTTTATCAAATTCAGGCATCAGACAAGACTTGGACTGTTTCAAGTACAACATAGCTGGTGTTAAGACCTTCAGATTAATGTAAAATGACTGACACAATAGTTAACTCTTTTTTAAATAATATATCAAGATTTACACTCTTTGTAAACACTCTTAAAGGAAGATTTCTCAATAGTCCAGGCTGCGATTTCAGTTAAATTCATTTGGTTATTTCATAACAACATGTTCAGCAATTAAAAACTGTCATCTGTGAAAGGGGTGATGCAATCACAGCAGCATAAACCAAAAACACCATTTAAAAATAGATTTTCACATAAGGTGGATATATTTTACGAAAATGCAATTGAAGAGAAAAAATCTTTCTTCGTTATGGATGCCTGTCTGAAACTCTGACTATAGTTTGTAGTGTAACTTAACTGGACTGAGGTCTACTAAAAGGTGTTAAGCTTATTAAGTCCAGCCACTGTTACAATCAGTGCAGGGCTATGACACATCTGAGACAAGTTTGTTTGTTTTTTTTTCAATGAAAAAAATCCTTTCAAAAATGATAATCTGACAACATTTTGGCTAAATTTCTGATTCCCAAAAAATTGTGCTCAAAAGGAAAACAAAACATTTTAGGTGCATTATGCTTTCACCCCATTAGCCCCTTTGTGTACTTGGTGTCAAACACAAAATGACAGGAGAGAACACATCATGCACATTTCTTTAACATCTACATTAGTGATATTAGTTAAGACTCTTTACAGGGTTAAGACTCACCTGTGTAGCTTGTCACATCTATTTAGACACTAATCAAGTCAGAGTGAGAGCTGTCTTGTTGGTTTGACATGTTAAGATATTTTCCTCCCATACAAACAGTTCAGATGGCGTAAGACATACAATAAAAATAGGTTCTTTAGCTCTAAAAAAATCTGTCAAATTTTATTGTTTCCTCACCTCAGCATGGAGGCAATGTTTTTTTTTTTACAAGAATAGATTGATGAATGATTGCAGAGAAGTATAAAAAGATGTGGTTTCTAAATTCTGGTTGGAAAAAAAAGGGAGTAGTGAGTCATCAGCCACATTTCACTGCCATGATATTTTTTGCCCCCTTTCTGTGTATGCTTCTGGCCAGCCAGCTTTCTGCCACCTGGCTGCCACCCCTCCCCCTTCAACACTTTATTGGCTTTCCTAATGGTCATGGAAGCCTGGCATGGGGAAGGGTCTGGCAAAAGCCTCAACATGGTGCCTCAGTTCAGCAATGCGAGCCACAGTCTCAGGGTCCTGGAGAAGGAAGTTCTTGAAGTCCTGGAGCTTTCCTGGAGAAGAAAGTGGAAGGTCTTAGTTTTCCTTTCTCTGGCTTCCTTTGTTTTATTACCCCCCAGGCTTTTTGTTTCCTTTCATGCATTTGCATGCAACAATTCAATTTAAACAGAACACTGCACTTTCTTGCTATTTTTAATTACAAATACAATTATTGTTTCATAATCTGTCTTATAGTAATATAAAAAATAAGGTATGTTTTTACTAAACATCATTAAATTGTGATCTCCCACTGTTGTCACAGTACCTGTCTTCTTCTTGACATCCATGGCGATTTTGAAGCCCTCATCCATATACTCTACAACCTGCACAAAGTCAGCTTCTTTGAACTGTCTGGAGGTCAGAGCTGGGGCACCTGGGAACAAAGTGACAAAATGTCCAGATTAACATTCAAACTTTTTTTTTATCAGATTTGAATCACACTGCTACCCACGCAATGCTTGTAGATTTGATAGACAAAACTAAGATTGATTGAGTTGCTGGTGAGTTTTAAGATTTATCCAATAATGGCTGGTGGATGTTTAATAAGTTTTCCACCCAGGGAAAGGCTGCTTTCACTTTCACAGGTCCAACTGTCTCTGATCATTTTTTTATCAGTAAGGAGCCATATGGTCTTCAGAGGAATAACAGAACCCTGCAGCTTTTGACATTTCAGTAATGATTATGCACACATGTTAGAACGACATTGATGCTTATAGGTCACCGAGATGTAATAATAATGATAATAAGAAAAGGAGAGCAGCACATTTCAGTGTAGATGAAGTACCTTGCCTTAAGACAATGCTAAATGTGGCAGAAGAGAAGCAGAGCTTGTGAACTTCCTGAGAGATGATTAAAAAGCCAAACATGCTTAATTAATCATGATGTGCTCAGTGCTTGTGGCTTAACTGGTAACTTGCTAATTTCCATATGCAGAGCCACATTTCGTTAGTGTTAGAGGACCAATTAAGTGAAAAGACAGCCTTTCTATGATTTCTGATCATACTATTCACAATGTTCAGACTCAGAATACTCAGAAAATGTGGTATAATGTGAAGCTTCCTCACCCAGCCGGAGGCCTCCAGGAGTCAAGGCGCTCTTGTCCCCGGGGCAGGTGTTCTTATTGGCAGTGATTGACACAAGCTCCAGCACCCTCTCCGCACGAGCACCATCGATGCCCTTGGGCCGAAGGTCCACAAGGACCAGGTGGTTATCGGTCCCACCTGAAATATTCAGCAAAAGTTCGACATTAGAAGAGGAAAAGTCTGGGGCTTTTAGACGTGGATCAGTTTAAGGCCATTAATCCAATAATATTTAACATGATGAAGTACTTTCACTATATTTATGCAGTTAAAGCCAAAGTTCAGTCAAGTCAGTAATGCTTCCTGTCTTTACCTTTCCGGCTCACTAGTGCATGTTTATCTGTAAAGCATTTTTATGCAACTCTGTTTTCTTTAACCTAGAACATTTAAATTCATGCAGCAGGAGGTTCTACTGATTTGATTATTTTGCCTTTGTTCACAGTGATCCTCTACTTTAGATTTTGACCATGTGTAACTATTCCATACAACCAAAGAACAAATCAGAAATTTCCCCTTTAAGGTTTGACAGATGGGAATACTGTTGCTATTTAAACTGAACTCTCCAATTTGTTCTAATGAAACTGAGTTTAAACATCTAACATACCCTTGGCATTGGCCTGCTGCTGGAACTGTTTTGTTAAAGAGGCATTTCTTTTATTTTGTTTGAGTCGGTGATGGTAGGCTTCATAAAATTTAACACTGAACAAAGTTCAGGACTGCAGCTGAACAGATCCCATCCTCAGCTGCCTCACTTCTGAACAGATTGAACAGGTAGTGAATATAACAACCCTAACCCTAACCTTCAGCTGTTGTATCAGACTACGCTAGTTTTAGAGACTACATTACTGCTCTGATGATTTACACGCTTGTTAAAACCAAAAAGTGCAACAGTATTGAGTGATTAGATACTCCTTTTTACAAATTGACAAGTTTCATACTGGGTTTCAGCACATAACTGCCACCTTTTTTTACTGCTTTTCTTTTTTTTTCCACCTGTCTATGAAAAGATTGAAAAAGAGACGCGTGCACATAATGCAGTGTAAGCACAGGAAAAGTCTGTGTTTTTTAAGCTACCACTTGAAGGCTATACATCAAAAAAGAGCTGAGGCCAGAGAATTAAATGCAGTACAAGACTGGAGCATCTGCTCACAGCCAGAAAGTGACCACTTTCATCTGGTTTTATTTCCCTGACTGACAGGACAGCCACACTGACATTAGCCTATTTGCACATCATGAATTTAAATGCTTTTCTGTTTTTATTCCATCCTGCAATTTGCATTTTGTGACAGGACATTTCTCTTCATTGACTCTGTGGTGTGTTGTTTTTTTATTGTTTTTTTTTCTGTTGCCATTTGCTGAGCCAGCGTCTGACAGAGAATGAAAAGAAGAATGCTTAAATATTAGTTTGATTACCTGACACCAGGGTGTAGCCTTTGCCGGTGAGAGCGGTAGCCATGGCCTTGGCGTTCTTTAATACCTGGCTGATATACTCCCTGAACATAGGAGACTGTGCCTGCACAAACACACACATTAAAAGATGAACAGGGTTAAGTTAGAGGAAGCAATAATGTTTGAGTTAGATTCTGTTGAGCTATGATTGAGAAAACAACCAGAGATCTATCATGTTTCTGTAGTTTAGCAGTGCTAAATATTCCTAGGCTAACTAGTTGTGAAAACACTGAAATTGATTTTGTTGCCTCTTTAGGTTCTACAAAAGCAAACAAAATCAACAATTTCTCAACTTTTTTAATGCTCAAACATGCTACAAGGACATATGTGTTATACCAGTCGATTAAGAAGCCTCTTCTACATATTCAACACCAACTACTCACAATAAATGAGAAATTTGACAGTTGAAAAGATAAGGATGAGATTTTTGTTGGAAATTACTCCCCTGTAGCAGATTGATAAAACAGACATCTCTTTTCACAAGAGACACAAAAATGGACACAAAGCAAAAATTCCTCACAGCAGCTTTGATAAGATACACATTGTTTTTACATTATATGTTGTGATTGAAATGTTGAGTTACTCTCTGGTAGGGACAACAATCAACCTGAAGAATAATATTCTTTGGTCAAGTGTTGATCATTGAAAGACTAAGTGCAGTAAAAAAGAAAAAGGCTGCATAAACATTTCTTCTATAGTGTAAATGCTCTTTTCACATAATCATAATTATCCTTTGCAGCCTCTAACACATTCTGGTCGACAGGTTGTTTTGACAGTAATATAAATGTCTTGGTGCAGTTTATTTTGCTGACTGTTTTATTGTATTCTTGGTGTCTTCTATCACTGGTTCTATTCTATATCAAAACATCTCAGCAGTAAAATTTTGTCTCAGTTTTGAGTGATTCCTTCTTATTTAGAAAAGCAACCAAGGTAATAAAGTGTCACATTTGCAAATAAAATGTGACTGTTGCATTGAGATGAGATGATTGAGTTGGTTTTTGCACTGTGCTGACCTGTCTGAGTGCGACAGCCACACCAGCGATGGCATGATTATGTGGTCCACCCTGCAGGGAGGGGAAAACCGAGAAGTTGACTCTGTCCTCCAGGTCGTACATGATCTCCTTCCCCTTCTTGTCCACTGAGCGAACACCCTTACGGTAGAAGATGAGGCCAGCTCTGATGAGGCAGGACAATGGGACAAAAAATGTCGATTTGATTTGTGAAAGAGAGATAGAATAATGCCCTAAGCCTCTTTGCATGCACTCTAACTTCAGTGGCATCAGTCCAGGAGTTCTCATGAAATTTTCCTGACACTCCTCATGTTCTTACCTGGATCCTCTGAGGGATTTGTGTGTGGTAGAGGTCACCAGGTCTGCGTGATCAAAAGGAGAGGGGATGGCTTTTCCTGCCACCAGCCCGCTGATATGGGCCATGTCAGCAAGCAAGTAGGCCTTGATGTCAGTGCACAGCTGAGAGGCAAAGAGGGGAAAGAAGGGACAACACAAAATTAGTCTATTAATTCATTCTTTGAGATGATTTAGTTTATACATGGAAAATGCCATTTCTAAGCATTTGTTCATGTTACCTGTGAAATGAAGTGCAATCAGTCAGTGTTGAGGCGGTGACACACTTTTACAGTGTGAAATAAAACTGTGAAAGAGGTGACTGCTGACTTTGTGTTTAATTTGACTATTCCCCGTGAAAAAGAAAAAAAAAACAATGTGGGAATCATAACCTCCTACTTTCAGGTGACAAACAGAGTGAAAACATTTAGCTCACGTGTCAATTATAAGGGTTAGTTCCTTATTCACATATCTAAGCAAGGTGCCGTGTTCAGTCTGGTCATTTAAAACAGGGTTGGGGCACTTTAAAGGGGACAGTCTTCACTGCTAACCCGATACAGACACACAAAGTACATTTCAGCTCCCCTTCAACTAAAGGTCAGCGCTTGAGCTCCAGTCTCAGTTTTCAGTGTTTTGGAGTTATGAGCAAAGGCAACCACTGTGCACATATTTATGACCTTGCTTTATTTATATTTAATACCCTTTAGTATATCGTCACTGGCCAATAAAAAACACGTATCTCTAAAATGTGTATTTCTCAGGAACATTAAAAAACAATTTTATTCATAAACTACCACAGGGAATAAACCCAAAACACTGTAATCAGACACAACTAGGACCCGAAATCAAAATCTATATTTACACAGTCATCAGTGACCTGTGATATTTTAAAAGGACTTAAGTGCTTTGCGTTGTGAGTGATAGTGGACATACATATTTTTTTAATAATGCCCTCCAATGACGTTATTTACGAGCTCTTAGTATCCTGTTTCTGTCCCATTATGTCAATAAACTATTGATAGCAGGCTATCCTATATTTCCACATAGCACATTGGTTGTCAACCTTTTTGAGTGGCGACTCCCAATTTAACATGAACTAGTGTCCACGACCCAGTGTGAGAGACAAAACAGCAGCAGCTCAAGAAATCTAACGTACAGGTAAACAACACTGCCATGGATTGAACAAAGTTTGAGGTCGGCATCAGTTGATGTGAGGACATTAGTGTAACATTACCCTGGACTATTATGAGTCTGTCACAGTGTAAAGTCTGTTTGCTGTCATGACAACGCAGAACCAGGCCGGAGATACGGGCTTTGTTGACACTTCCGACACCCAATGGAGATACTTGTTGAAAAGATGATGTTATAAAATGTCTTTCCATCGGTCATTTGGAAACCCAAAACTACAGGTTGTTAGGGAAGATTATGGACCATATATATACTGAAAAAAGAGGAGATACGTGATTTTTATCGGACAGCGATAGAGTATCTCTAAAGCTAATCTATTAAGCTGATAAATTCGTGTAACTTCACCAATCAGTGACCTAACTCTATCTATGAAAGTACGATAGAGTCTCATTGGTGGGGCTGTATCCACGTTCTTCCACACTGTTAAGATATGAGGAGTAACTCTACGCTGCTTGGCAGTACCTGTTCTCTCAAAGCGCAGATATTCCAGATCAGAGCTGTTGTTTCTACACTCTTTGACGGTCTTCAGAGGCTTGTTACATTACAGTGTAATTCAATAAGTCCTTGCTGTCTCTTGCCAACATTTATTGAGAGAGGCACAAACAATAAATAGCTCACTAAGATGCAAATGAGCGAACGATCAGAGCAGTGAGCAGTCTTTTTAGTGCTCCAATTAATATGTATTATCATAAAAATCTCCCTTCATCCCGTATCGAAACTGGATCAGCGGATGTTTATTAGATAAGAACACAGGAAAGATGGCAGGGTTACTGGAGGGAGTGAAGAATGCAACAGGGTGATCTGATCTGTGCTAGCTGACGAACACTGGTGGAAAGAAAAAAACAAACAAACAAAAAAACAGAAGCCTGCTCCCATCTAGGTAACACAACAGTGAAATTCTGGAGAGGAGCCCGGGCCAGCAGATTCTGCCATAAAACAGCGAACAGTTCCACAGAGACATGCCAGCGGGAAAATATGGCCCCACTTCAGGCCTGGTGGCTAAGTAGTAATGGTGCTTAATAAAAACACAGCTCTGTAATGGTGGGACACTCCATCTGATGGTGCTAGCTAAAGTGGAGCTCTGCAACAAAGGGAGGCAGTCATGGAGTGAATGACGGGAACCAGCGGGTGGGTATAACAAAACAGATAAAGGGGCCTCTTGTGCACTTTCAAAGAGGGCGATGAAGTGTGCTGTTAAAAGTTGCCGCTGTGGACTAGTGAGTCAGTATGTTTGGTTTGTTTGAGTAGGCAAGAGAGGAAGAAAGCATCTGTGTTATTGAGTGCTAGCATGAAAGACCCTAAAAATGGTCCGTCCCTAAAAAGTGTTGCTGCATGATGGGGAACGTTTGGTCATTCAGAGCACTCTGCTTTCTTCTAGTAAGCAAAGATTTGGTTGGGCGTGACTGTGATGAGGTCTGACCTCTTTGCTCAGGGAAACAGGTGTGTGTGACAGTTCAGCGAAGGTTGACTGAGTTTTAAATAAGAGGACAAAAGCTGCTCTGACCTTCGTAATGAGAAGAATGAGAAGTGGAGAAAAAGGTAGCAGGTGAGAAAAAAAATGGGGTGAAACCGAGTGAGCTGTGAACACAGAGAGAGTTCCTCATGCACCTTCTTGACGCGGGCGTAGTCAATGAGGCGGGCATAGGCGCTGGTGCCAGCGATGATGAGCTTGGGCCGGAACAGCTTGGCCGTCATTTCCATCTGGTCGTAGTCTATGAGTCCTGTTGCAGGCTGCAAATAGATGGAGAGAGAGATAGATTGAGGGGATTTAAAAGAGGCAGAGGAGGAGGAGGAGGAGAGAAGTGGAGGATGAATAAATGAGAATATTAGAGGGAGAGTAAGGGTCAGAGGGAGGGAAACACAGAGCATGAAAGGATCAAAAAAGTTGCCAGACATCCTGAAGATCAAGAGCAAACATATCATCACAGAGGAGAGATTTTTTTTCCCATTTGAAAATCATTTTATGCCGTTACATTTGAAGTACTTTGGCTACCTTAAAAGGGGGAGGAAATTTATCGGAGAGAGACACTTCAACTTAAAATGTGAGGGAAGATGGAGACATTACAGTAATGTACCCTTACTTATCCTTATTCAACCTTTCAGAGATGTACCTTGCTTTTATGATGAGGCTCAACTGATCAGAGGTTAGTTTGGAGACTTTCCTGCTCTTTTCAGGGATCAGCAATTTTAGAAATATGTTAGATAAGCTTTTGTTCGGGGGTTGTACTTTTGCACAATGTAAAATGGAGACGGCTCCATGACGAGAGCATACTGCGCTTGAATCTCCGGCTTTAGCTTTCTACCCCTCCTCCGAGCATCAGAGAGATGAGACAATGCGGGCAAGAGAAAGAGAGCAGGAAAACAAAGTGAGAGACAGAAAGGATGGGGGGATAAGTGGGAGACAGATTCGAAAAGAAGAGAGAAAAAAAGGAGGAGGGAGAGCTTTATTTAGACAACCTGATAATCTCCCATCTCCAGAGCACATCTATGGATGCCCCCTCACTCCATCAAGCTGCTCATTGTGAAGACAGAGCCAGTGGTGCTGGCCAGCCTGTCGATTTCCCATTATCTCTCTCGCAGAGGGGTCCTGCCTGCCCATACATCAGCAGGTCTGGACATGCAGACGCTCGCGGCCATCCATCAGCTGTTACCGACACTACCACATGACTACCACATGACGATGACCTCAGGATAAAATACTGCGCACCAGTACATGGAGGACTGATCATATGTACATGCTAACTCAGATCTGAGGGGACCCTATAGCACTTTTCTCAGTGCTGGTGGAAAACATGTTGGATCTGCTATGATTGGTCACATTGTGAGTATCATGGACTGTTTACTACAAGCATGAAAACAAAGTCCACAACTTGTTGTAGTTGAAATCTGCGAGTCTTTACTTACATTTAGTTTATAGGGCATGGACTCGAAATAGATTGAGGTCGCGGAGATCCTTTTCACGTCGGACATGTAGCCGTGGGTCAGACTGCAGGGACAAAAAAGGAAAAATGAAGACAACGAGCACAAACACATCCTAATAATTTCCAACAACATGATACATGACAGGAAAGAACATTATCTTAGTTCACTGATGTGCTGAAAAATACTCATTTTGACTGAAATAGAACTGGGTCAGCTCAGAGAAGTGTGAGGGTTGCAGAAAACAAGTGACAGGGTGATTACTGACTGTCCTCCGTCGGGCAGGTCCAGACCCATGATGCGGTCATGGGGGTTCAGTACAGCGGTGTAGGCCGCAAAGTTAGCGGGAGAACCGGAGTATGGCTGGACGTTAACACCCCACAGAGCCGGGTCCAGGTCAAAGGCTTCCAGGGCTCGCTTCTGACACAGCAGCTCGATTTGGTCGACCACTTCTGCTCCGCCATAGTATCTGTAAGTGAGGTATAGGGAGGAAAAAAACACCTTTAGGTTATTTTTCAGACCTGTGAATAGTATTGCATCAAATTAAACCAGCAATAACGAACCAGACTAAACCTGCGAATTGGTCACTTGGGAGCAGCAGACGAGTAATGAACAAACGACTTGACATTTCACACCTGTTTTTAAATACTTACTAGTGTCAGAAGTTGCTGAAGAAAATAATCGCTTGTTTAGAGGTGTTTGTTGTTTTTTTTGTTTCTGCTAATTAGCGAGGTAAGTCAAATATCAACCCCTCCCCTATGTTTTTGTCTGTGACATTTTTAACAACAAAGTTCGACACAGCCTCTTTTTTCGGGATTTGTTCATAGAAACAGCTGCAGACTGTTACCTCTTGACACAAGGTCTAGAGTGAGCCAGGTGAGATGCCAATGAGCCGTTAAAAACAGTCTGAAATAGCTTGAAATATACTGCTGCATTCTTTACAGTAATTCAGCATCAGCAGTGCCTTTCACAAACTGCACTGTTGATGATAAACATGTACAGTAATCAAGATAAATGTTAACCAGGAGCTAGCACAACAGATCTGGGACATCTCGGGTGAAAATGCTTGTCAGTCAGTCCTTTTCAGTGTAATTACAGATGAAGGAGCAACAGATGGCCTCTGTGCAAACCACTCGTTCAGTGAGATCACTCTTTTGTTTCATTACATTAAAGTGTAAACCAGCAGATGAGTAGAACGAAGGGGAGAGGGGGAAAAAAATGTCAGGTTCAGTGGGAAGGAGGTTTACGGTTGGTTTATGTTGTAGGAATCAAAGGGATCAAATGAGTAACGTTTTAAAACATGTCAGCTCTCTGTTTGCTGCAGATGACTGTGACATATCCGAGGGAAATAACAGAAAATAGAAATAAGGCAAAAGTCAATGTGCAGCGGTTAGCCTTTGTACTACAATCTTTCAGTGTTCCCCCTCAGGTGTCTTTGTGTGAGAGGCAGGGCTGTGGATTGTTGGCTGTGTGGCTGTCATTAAAAGGGCTGAAACGAAAAATATACAGATAACTATCTTTCTGTGCATTTGTGTAAAACTACCCTAAAGCAGAAAGTATCAACGGTGTTAATGAGCGAGGCGGAACTGAGTCAACACACTCACCTTCTCCCTGGGTACCCTTCAGAGTATTTGTTGTTCAGACAGGAGCCCTGAGCTTCTAGAGCTGCTCGACTGCAGAAATTCTGTGGTGAGAAAACACACACACACACACACACACACACACACACACACACACAAACACACATACACACAAACACACACAAGCGCAAACACACATACCCTTGGATCAATGGCACGAGTAGACAGAAGGGACAAGGACCGCAAATTAAAGTCTGTTAAGTGATAGTGAGAAATCCCCCTCCAGCTAAAGGCAATCATTACTGTATTGAACCTCTGGACTTCCATAGACTAACACTCTGCACTTCACAATCCTGATTGCTTCACTGCTGGAGGACACAAAGATAATATAGTAAACTTTGCTGCTCATCTTTAGATGTATACACGTGTGGCCTTTTTCTGACAAAAACACATTTAAGTAAGGATGTTTGCTGCAAAATGGGATTCAGATCCCCTCAAAGTTTTCAGTCATGGGTTGTCTGTGGTTTCCAGGACAAGTCGTAGAGTTAAATATTTATATAATGCACAGCATCATCACTGGTAGTAGGGCTGTGGATATTTAATCCACTTGAAAATTTGTTGCTTCAGTAGATCCCTGTGGTTTACTGGAACGTTTAATTTTAGGGCAGAAACAATTCCTCGAGTACCTCAATCACAAAAATGATGGAGGAATTTTCTCTGCCTCGAGCACTCGTTTATAAGCTCAAATCGTCACTGTTTCGCAGGGAGTATTTTCAAGGTGACACAACACGTTTACGTCACCACGCTAGAAGGAGGAGTAAACGCGGTTTTGTATTTGCGGAGTGGAAAAAATGAATGATGAGAGGGGCTTTTCTTCTGCAGAGCTCCAGTAGATTATTAGCAATTCACCTCTGAGTTGTGGGCGGAGACAGCGCTGCTCTTCACACTCCTCTTCACGTTAGCTTGTAGTCTAACATTGCCGGTGTAGTAGAAGTGGCAGGTAACATAGGAGCTATTCAGCTCTTAGACACTAATGTCTTTGGGGACATGATTTAAATTAATATCATAACAGGCTTTCTTACGAGTATTGTAATCCGCTAATACACGCACTTGTTCCGTGTTCCTTGTTTCTAATAAAGGTTAACAATTGATTGTTCATTATTAAGTTAAATGTCTTATTTTCTCTTGTATTTTAATAATTGCACTTATATTAATAATTGCACAAAAAATGATGTTTTATCACATTACTTGATTAATAGATGGAATATTCCGTAAAACACTCGATTACTTAAATATTCGATAGCTGCAGCCCTATTTCATTTTACACATGAAATGAAATTCTACTTTTGTATTGCTATAAGCCTTGAAGGAAGTTTTCCAGCTTTAAAATTGTGAAGATTTTTTTTGTCTTATGTGTCTAAAGTAAACCTTAAACGTTTGGCTCCAGGGCTGCTGTTTGAACAAATCAGTGAATCACATAGTAAATAATGCCCTAAGCTTAAAAGAGCAGATATTATATTTATATAATTATATTATTATTTTTTCCTGATTCCTCTTGAATAGCTTTATGTGATTGTCGGATCAGATCAAAATGAGCCTTGTCTTTCTCACTCTGGTGCATTAAAATATGATTATTTCAGCCTTTGTCTGAAATGCTTCGTTTTCGCTGCTGTCTCTTTAAGACTTATGGACCTGACCATAAGTGATCCTTGAATGGCCTCCTGACACAACACTCATTCTCTATACTATCACACTAAGTGGCCAGTAAAAGGGTCTGACCTGACACACACACACAGTAAGGTTGAGTCTTGCCTCTTTCCTGCGTTGAGATGACACATATGTTTCTGCGGAGAATGTGATCATGCTAATGCTTCACCTAACCCAATCCTAGGCCAAGAGAGGATCAAGGAAGTTCACAGCTCCAGTAGCAGCTCTCTGCTGCCTGTCACGCTGTTGATTGTGCATAAAACAGTGAAAAAAATGCACGTGCTTCTCATTGTCTTTACACTTGAGCTACATTGTGTGTGTAGATCAACGTGTGAGAAGGCAGGTCTTTTCATTTGAGGAATGCCTCTCTGAGCTGATGTGCCTTGCAGAGTGCGGTTGGAGGGAAAGGCAGGATGAAGATATCAGCTTTATCTCACACTAGAGCGGTCAGGTATTTTTGTGGGGAGGGGAGGCGACATACTCCACTGAACAACCGCTGTGGCAAAGAAGAAACAGGAGGGGAGGGAAAGAATAGTACAAGATAAAGCCCTGCCTGATCTTTTGGATGGTGAAAATTTTCAGCCTCAGGATAGAAACAAATAGCTGCCAAAGGGAATGGTTCTATAAACACAGGGCTGTTCTTTCACACAAAATCCACTGCTTCCTGCTTTGGATGTTTTGACTATAATAAAAGCCAAGTAAGAAATATTTAGAGTGGGTTTTTTTTAACCCAGCACATGTCAGAGTTAATGATATCCATTTTAGCCTTTGAATTCTGGAGCCAGAAGGTCATTGTCTCACTAGTCTAGCACTTGGAAAGATAAAAACAATTCAAGGTTTCTGCAATAAAATATTTAAAAAACAGCAGTGGAAGATTTTGGAATAAATATAAGAAACAACTAGATCCACATATTCGGGATATGAATTCAGAATGCAGTACTCCTATTGTTTGTTGTACTGGATGTGCAGCTCATGCTGTATTTATCAAGAAATAGGAGGCCTGATAAAACTCTGATAAGGGTTTTACTATCAATGCAGCGAGCACAAAAAGATACAGCCAGAATAAGAGAGCCATAAATCTAGCAAGCATGTTCATTCATCCCATTTGTCAAAATGTTAATCACAGGTGATGAAGCATTCTCGGCTCCCTGCACTGCCAACATAAAGAGGGTGTGCTTGCCAGTTCCCACGGGCATTGATTAAGTGTTTAAACAAACTGTTCTTTAGGAAAAAGTCAACTCAGAAAAAATACAATCGTACAGTAAGATGGTTCTTTATATTCAGCTCAAGGCTGCTGAAATGTTAATTCCTCTTCTTTGTTAAGATCCTTGCTCTAAATTATTTCTGCAACAACATTTTCAGGCCTGACAAGAGGCTAAAGGAACTTTACGAGAGTGCCTTACTATTTGGTAATTTTCAATTTGAATATCTCCGCTGTTAAGTAATCTGTCTTGAGTACATCTTTACAATCAACCAAACTGCACTCAAGTTACCCTGGCACCAAAATCAGTTTACAATCAGGTTTAAGAGCTTTAAGTTGATCTTCCTTTATTTTACAGCCCCTTTGCCTTTCCTGCCCCACTGTACTATTGAATAACCACATAACATGAAAGTCAAATTAATTTTCCAAATAAAGACATAATTAGAGTCAGTGAAAAATGTTTCACCTCTGATGCAATGAGCTCCAGGCCACGACACTGCCTGTCCTTCTCCTTCTGCAGCAGATCCCACATCTCGGGGTCATCCTGGGCCAGACTCTCCTGGCCTGTCCATGGGCGATCCTCATCCACTGTACGGGTGGCAGCGTGCTGGCCTCGTATGCTGAGACAGACTGGGGCTCGCTGGCGCAGTGGCTGTGGGCAAAAAAGAAATAAGAATGATGATGGGATATAATCAGAGAAAAGTTCACTTCAACACTGGATCACTTCAAAAAAAAGAGAGAGAAAGAGAGAAAGTCGGCCATTTAAAAAATCTTAACTGAGCACACTCCACATTTGGTGCTGCATGTCCTCCCCCATCTCTCTCTATCTCCCCATATTTCCAATCTATCCTTTCTATAAAGACAAAAAAATTGCAAAAAATAAATAAATAAATAAAATAAATATAAATATAACAAAACATTTAAAAAGAAAACAATTTAAAAAAATCTAAATCTGAAGGTTTGAAAAATTTCATGTCATCAGGAATATTTTGCAAAACAAGTCATTCTATCTTCTGTTGCGACACACTCTTGAAAATGTCACCGCTTGAATGTAAAATGTGCTGAATCAGTCTTTTTACACTCTGACAATAAGTGTTTTTTTTTTTTTTTTACTTTGGAGGCACTTAACGTCTCTGCCACTGTTTCTCCCAATACAGTCCAACGTCTGGCCTCGAATAATTAAAAGCTGGCATGTTTGCATGATATCTATAATCAGCATGGTTGTTCAAATATGCCTCAATCAGCACTTCTTCAAACTGAGGGACTGACTTTTACAGCCCCAGTGTACCAAAGGAGGCATGTAGAGAAACCGATTCAGCACTTCCTGCTTATCTAATCTGGACTGGAGCTGGCGAGGTCTCCTGCTGCTGCGGCTGCTGAAATGCCTGGTCACGAGTGTGCGCAGTCCGTACACTTTTCCCTGTCTCTGTCCCTTTTTTCCAAGTCAAACACGGGTGCTCCAGGATAACCCAGTGGACACTGGCTGTTCTACAAAACAATGGTTTTCAGACACTGTCAGGGAAAAACAAATATTAGACTAGGACTGCGCAATTATATGATCGTAATAAACTTCAGTTCGATCACCGTGATCAACTGTGAGCTTATTTACTTGATCAAACATGGCGAAAATGTGCACCACAACAGCCAATCAGAGTCGAGCTTTCTGTGAGTTGTTGGAAAAGTAAACAAAGTAACCGAACGTGGAGCTGAGTGCAGTAAAATAGATGTCAGCCATGACTTTGAGTCATCCTCCAAAGATGTTATTGTTGAGAAGAAAAGTTATTGAACTTCTCATTTAGTTTTTATCTATTTATTTTTTTAGTTTTAAGTAAAGATGCTTTAAAACTGTCAGTTTAAAAAAAATCGGGATCACAATCGAGATCGGACAATATGACAAAGTATATCGTAATCATCTTTTTGGCCAAATTGCTCAGGCCTATATCAGACTTTAAGCAACTGCTCTGTAGAATTAAAAAAGACCAAAGCCTGTTGTTTTTTTTCTGGTTTTGCTTTGTTTTTAAATCTCTGTTTTCTCTGCATTGTCATTTGTATTTTTACCAGGTTTAAAATTGAATCAATTTATTATTATTTTTTTGGCTGATTACTTTGGAAAGTAGCTTTAGACAGAAGTAGACGACACAATGAACAAAAATTACTGGGAGCATAATGGCAATTGTTGCAAGGATTAAAAGTTGGAAAAAGTTAACGACTGGAAGGAATTTTATTAATTTATCAAACTTACATTTACATATTTTTTTAAATTTGATTCAGTAGTCCGCTAAAAAGTAATGAAACAGTATTCAAATTCAGGAATCATGTTGTTACACACCCAGTGATAAATTATTACCAAATTTTTACTGTAGTCATGCCTAAAGATGATTTTTGCAGGAATATTAAACATAAATAACTGCTTTTTATGTCTGTGTTTTTATGCATCATCTGGAGTTACACAGAGGTTAAAAAAATACTCGACAGGTTGATTGCACCACGAACAAACTGTGTCTCCCCCATCATTTAATCAACAATATGATGATGACTCTGTGTTGAGATCAATCCCACCACAGCCAACCTATAGTTATCATTTGTACAGGTGTGCTGGGGTGTGAGGGACAACCTCCCTTTAATAGCATCATTAAAAAGCAATTAACACAATGCTTAGGACCGGCTGAGGACACCCATGTGAAATAACAAACGCAATTTTCAGGAACTTCATGGGGTGTAAAAAAAGGGCTCTTAATCTTTTGTTGTATTTGTACTGCTCTGAAAATCTACAAAGTCGTTTTTAACTAATTTTCAAATATGAAAATTGTTGTTGTTTTTTTTCTTCGATGGAAACAAAATCGTGTTGAATCATCTTGGCATTGCTAAATGGTCAACCTCAGTCTCTTAGCGAAAAATAAATGACAACAGTGTAAAAAAAAAAATCTTTATCCCGAGGAACAGCTTGCAGATAGTTTATCTACTCCATCGCCGGTCGGCCCAGCCTCTCTACTCCGCCTCTTCATCTGCTCCCCGGGGCAGCAGAGGGGACAGTGGCGGCATACCAGGGGTGGCGTTTGGCACATTAATGACCGATTCCTAACAGTCTCTAACACAGCCCTCCGTCACCGCTGGCGGTGTTGAAGGTGGGAAAAAAGAGGAGAGGGCCCCCCTTCTGGGCTCCGGAAGAGATGAAGGCCTGGGGAGACAGGTTGGGCTGCCTCTGAGGACGCATCTCTCGCAGAGAAATCACACGGGTCATTAAATCTTGACGGGAACTGTCCTCTGCTGTCTGCGTTTCTGCCGGGACACTCCAGTGCCAGGGAGAGCAGTGTCAGAAAACCCAACACAAGCCAAGACCGCTGCGGTTATGGCGATACTGATGGTTGCGAAACAGACAAGGGTGCATCTTCTCCTTCCTCACCTCCACCTTTATCCTAGTGTTCCCATTTTCCCCTGATCCCGTCGCTTTGTGAATAAACAGTCTCAGAATAGAAGCGCACACAGGTGCACTTCTTATTAGTTTGTGCTGTTATGAATATCACTACCATGACGCCCCAACAGGGACATCGCTGTGCTTAAACAAACAGTACACAGGTCAGTCCCTGTGGTCCACTGCTTCTCTTTCCTGCCTCGTTTGTCAGCGCTGATCATTAGGAGAGATTAATTAATAAACACGAGGTAAACTGATCCAAGAAAAGTGAGAGCCAAGATACGAGCACCAAATATGTCACAGCAGGACTATATTTAGGCGACAGATGACGCTGTCGTTTGAAGGTGAACTTGATGAAAACTCTGCTGTGAGAAAAGGGGCGGGATGGGCCACATCAACTCGAGAGCGGCGCACAAAACAATGGCAGAGTCGCGGATGCAGTGCATCTGCGTGACAATGATAAGGTAAATGTTGGCAGTTTACCTGTCCTGTCAAACATCTGTGCCCAAAGAGCAATAGCACAGAAGAGGAAAAGGGAAGAAAGGAAATCATTTCATTAATCCTTGTTCTGTATTATTTTTGCCCATTTCCTGCAGCAGCTCCTGAGGCGAGTCAATTTTACAGATGACTGCTGTCCATCAGTGGCTGTACCAAACAACAATCAGCCCGGTAACAGGAAGAAACAGAAGGGACGGAGAAGAGGGACTGAAGAAAAAACAGATGCGTAAGGTTGGAGAGAAGAAGTGTCAACAGGGCAGCAGCATCCGTCAGTCTGACACACAGTCGCCTCTTTCCCTGTCACTGACTAATAGCAGGGCTGTCCGTTACAAACTGCCCCGTGATTCAGTCTGGATAACACTAGACTGAGAAATCTGGACGGGGTGAAGAGGCGTGAAGGGAGGGACGGAGGCAGAGTCCAGAGCGACTCAACTCTTTTCGGGTCACAGGGTTGTCAGGGTGACAATCAGAGTCCTAAGCGATAGCTGCAACACGGCCAATCTTCAAGAGGTGTAGGCGGCCGAATGATTCATTTATGTTGTAATCTTTCCTCAACATTTTTGGTAGTGAGGAAAATGATAGAGGAAAGAGCTTCATGTTAGGCTTCCTGGAGTCTGAGGACAACTGAGTGCATGTTATCAACTGCGTGTTTGACAAAGCTGGGGTCAAAGCCTGGCCTTCCTCAACCCTGTTCCCACAACTGTCCGACTGTCCCTGTCAAGTGCACAATGTTTTTACAAAAAAAAACAACAATCATGAATGTGATGACTCTAATCTCAATCAAAGCATTTGTCTTTAAACTGTTAGAAATGACTGAAAAAAAAAGCCTGTTATGATTTTCTAATCTCAGTGTGACACTCAGACAAAGACACACGTCTTCACAGAGAAGCTGTTCAAAGTGAATTATTGTTAAATGCGGACTGCTCTTTTAAAAATCTGTGATCAGCTTGACAGGCATGCATTAGTTTTATCTGGATACACTGGCAGATTTGTTATTTGCTTAGGAAGTGTTATAGCTGAACTTGACGTGAGGGGTGCTTAACATTTTAAAAGGTAGTAGCTGCCATATAGCATTAAAAAGTGTAAACCAAGCAGGTTCAAAACATCCACCTTTCAAAGAGCGGACAAAGCAATAAAACAAAACCTTAATAAGAGAGTTTTACTGTACTGGAAAAGCCAGAGTTAAAAGATTTCCACTGGCATAGTACTGCTAGCTTGTTTATTCATATATGTAAAGCCATTTAAGTGGTCTCAATGAATGAGAGGTGATTAAACTAAAAACTAGGGCTGGACAATGAACCGAAAATTTACCAATACAGAAAATTAAGACAAAAACCGACTTCTTTTGCCCATATCGGTATATTTGGTGTCAAAAATAAATAAATCAAAGTTGGTTTTGGATGTGTGTAGGTACGCTATGGTCTCATGTTCCTTTCAGACGCTGTCCTACATCAGAGACATGACTCCACCCCATCCAGTCTGTAAAAAAGAGGGAAAGACAGGTGAGGAGATGGAGGACGGTTCAGAAGTTGTAGCGGCTGAAGTAGACGAAGTTAATTCAGGAAGGGTTGATCAGCTTGTGGAGTAGTTATCATCCATTTATCGTCTGTTTATCGTTATCGAGGTGAACTGCTCGATATTGGGAAATTGATTTGAAGCCATATCGCCCAGCCCTACTAAAAACTATTTCTGAGTCTGTCTAAACAGTAGGATTAAAAAGATCCAGTTTGCCTCTTTTTACTTGATTACTGAGAATTTTTTCTTTTACTGTAGAACACAAAAACAGGACAGATAGTCGTTGTTTGCACCAAATGCCAAAGTGCAGTAGGTCTCCTCACAAACAGAGAAACAAAGCACAACTAATCTTCAGTGCAAAGTCCATGTCAGCTTTTTTAAGTAGTGATTTGCTGACTATTATGACTAATGGATAACACTTAATGGTGATTTTATATGTCCCATAACCTGTTGTCATTTTGTTTATCACATACGGTACAGCATAATGAATTATGGCTCTGTTTCATTCACTTTTTTCACATCAGGGGATGTTTTCAGGTGTTGGAACAGTGTCAGGGGTTGTTTACTAGCTGACCAGAGACAGCTGGGCAGACACATGAAAGGGACAGAATTTATATTTTCCATGACCCGGAGTTAGGATTACATAATTAACAAAACTTGCCTGCAGCAAAAGGGAGTTTTGCCAACTTTTTATCCTTTGCAAGTCCCTTCTTTTACCAAATGACTACCCTGACACAGCTCCAGAGTACAAGCATCGAGTGGAAATACAAAAAGAGGAGTCTCTCAACAGAAAAAACAGATCAGCATTTTGCTTTGAAAGGCCTTTGGGAGGTGCCTTCGTAGTATATTTTTCATGCTTCTTACATAAATATAGCTGCTACACAGTCAATACAAACTAAACTAAACTAAACGATGAATTTTTTCAGGTTAGTTCTGCCGAGATCAGCACCTGACCTTGCAGAAAGTGGAGACACATGCTTAAACTGTAAGATCAAAATCCTCTTGACAACAGATGCACCACTTTAAGAACGGTAGGAGCTGTGAAATCAACATAACATGAAACTGTTTTAAAGCTGCGATCAAAACAAACACCCCAGCTAAGGCCAAAACAATCTGTTTTTCTTACACTGTAATATCTGATGCAACAGACGACCCACTTACGTAAATCCAAGTCATAAAAGTAGGGTGTTTGAGTCTAAGCTGTTGTCAAACTGATCCTAACTTTCCCTGTTGGAAAAAAAGACCAACTGCAACGACAGATAAGTGCTCGCAAACTGACTGATATCTTTCACCGTGGACACTGTGAAGACACAGCGGCCTCCGCCAAAGGAAATAAGGAATCATGTGAGGGAAACGCACACTAACAATTAGCACTAATAGAAACCGCATGCATGCATGTGAATCAGTGTGTACAGTATTAAAGTTCAAACAAGCTGACAGTGACTTAGGAAAGTAGGTCTGAACACATGATTTTGGCAAAGACTTACAAAGGCCAAGTTCTCTCTGAAATATTGCATGGAATTCACATCAGCCCAGAAATAGGTCACTTCATGAAGTTAAAAATTAGGCCAATAATATCCTTCAATCACAAATTTTCAACATCTGTATCATCCTGAACATTTTTTCAAACAATCTGTTTGATAAAATGTTGTCAAACTATAAAACTTTTATAGTTGACTGAAGTTACATCACTGGGCGAAAAAGTATGCATCAACAGAGGCAGAAAAAAGGAGGGAAACAGATTCTAAAAACATAAGATAAAAATGTATATGGAGAACTATAGTAACCCTTAGTTTAAGTCATGATCTTAAGCACACGTGGGGGTAGCATAAGGTTGTAAATGAGACAGATACTTGTAGTGTTGTAAAATGAGTTTCTGTTATGTAACAAAGGCTGTGATTTTACTTTTGAATGGATATGCACTTGTCTGTAAATGCTACAACCTCTCCTCTGATTGTTTAAAATTTGCTCTGACAATATCTGTATATGTGTGGATGTGCAGAGCATGTTTATTTGGCCATACATCTATCCAGTGCAGCATAAAGTGTCGAGTGACCAACAGGCAAGAGCGTAAGCAGGCAAGCTAACTCAAAACTGGTGGGGAAAAAAGTGGAAGATGTTTATCAGTAGAGCTGGGATGATATGCTGTTCTCTGGAGTCAGTTCATTTAGATTGCGATTCTACAATATTGTTGATTTTCTCGATTTTTAGTCTGCATTTTCAACACCGGTGAAACAGTTGAATGATTATGACTGTCTATCACTGTGTGCTGAGATTTGTTACACATCATTGCGAACTTGCCAAGTCTGGCTGGCCTTCTCTGAGTATTCGCAGGTACACTCACTGGTAGGACTGGATTATATGATCGTGATAAATTTTAGTTCAATCACGGTGATGAGCTGTGAGCATATTTACTCGATCAAACATAGTGGAAATGTGCGTCACAACAACCAATCAGAGTCGAACTTTTCCTGCTCACCTCTGCCAAAAGCAGAGCTGAGGGCAGCAAAATAGATGTCAGCCATGACTTTGAGTCATCCTCAGAAGATGTTATTGTTAAGAAGTTATTCAACGTCAGTTGTGTGGCGGTGGTTCGGTTATCTCTAAAGTGACGTAGAGTAATTAAGCCGATGTGTAAGGTATGTCGGCGGTTGGTGCCCTCAAAAACTGGAAAAACAACATATCTGTAAATCATTTGAAGAAGTACTTCCTGAGTGATTTTGCGGAAAACATGAAAATGTGAGCGGAGGCTGCTTAGCCTGTCACTGCTGACGGCACAAGTAGCATTAGCAGTTTAGCCACAACTTGCGGTGCAGCCACCAGACCAAAGCAGCGATCAATCATATCATCTACATTTCCATCATCTAATGTTTACATTTTAAGGCGTCTTCATTATCTCTGAGGGGGATTTTTGTTTATTTTGGGTCTTGCATACCTGCAAAAACACTCAGGACTGTAAACTAATTCACTGTATTATTTAGTATTTATCTACATTTGCTGTACTGTTGAGTTAAAATGGTTTTATATATTTTTTGAAGTGTATCTTATTCTTAGTTATTTACTTCGTATGTTAATAAAATGTTGAACTAATCTCTAGTTTCTTTAGCTTTTAGTACAGATACTTTAAAACTGGCAGTTTAAAAAAAAAATTGTGATAATAATCGAGTTCGGATGATACGGCAAAATATATCGTGATCATTTTTTTTGTGAAATCGCCCAGGCCTACTTTAACTTCAAATGTTAAAGGAAAATAAAACTGTATCTGCTTTATTATTATCTAAAAGCAGTAAACAATATTTGCCTGGTGCACCTTGAGCTTTATTTTGCACTTTGGACGTTATTGGGGCCTCTGACTGGTTAATAATACATCACTGTACCTAACTTTCTCTAGTGTTATCTGTATTTTGATCGGAGCTCCTCACTGAGTCCAAGTCACCTCTGTAATGGTCATTTAAAGTGTATTATTACCTAAAGACAATGTAGTTTTAAAAAGGACAGAGTTAAATTAAAAAATTTACAAATTTAAACGACAAATAGAGACTGAAAGGAGACCTGAGTGATCTGTATTGTCTCTCGCTCTCTCCCCACATGATGAAACTGAACAGTCGCTGTTGCATCATTGCGTGGACTCAGCTGCAGCTGTGTATGTAACATGCACTCACAACTAGCCTGCTAGCTTCACAGCTAACAAACAATCGTCAGGGTTTCGAAATACAGTGCAAACGAGAAAACTGTAACCGCTGCTGTAAATAATTCCCTGTCAGCAAAAAAAATAGCCAATCTCATGAAGGCCGAAGACAACTTCGACCCCCTGGACTGGACGTTAGTATTGAGCAACACTGGCATTAAGCTAACCAACACTTCCACCTGCAAGTTACGCAACTCATGAGAGAATAAGTGACACAAAAACTGCGGTTTATCCTAAACTTACCCGTGTGAGTTGTCTGAAAGCGAAAGACAGCATGTTTCCAGTTGTCAGGCCAGAAGGAGAAGCAGCACAGGCAGGCGACACACACCGCTGACAGGCTCCGAAAGGCTGTTTGAAGTTGATAGCAACGGCTGGTTACGTGAAAGCTGGCGCAAAGGCTGCTGGGAGTTGTAGTTAGTAGTGAGGAAATTCCTTCGTCCAATGGCACCAGCGTTACAACTTCATTAATAAATCAGGAACTCGTGATTTCAAGGTTATGGATTACAGTCTTCACTCATATATTGTACAAATTTTTTTTAACAATACAATTTGAGTTACAACACCTCTGTCTACAAATTGAAACTTAAACACGGGCCTAAATAAAAAAGTTGCCCAATTTAAATGTATTAAATCAATTTTTTTCCCCTCAAAAAACATATACAAAAAATATCAGTATAGAGCCTGGATTTATACTTGCTTGTTTTCTTTAACTAAATCCTCATGAACAAAATTAAAATATTTTTTAGATCATGTATGACTAATTTTTATGAGTCGCTTTAAGTATTATCTGAGTTTTTTAAAAGTACATAGAATGCAAAATTTGGTTTGTCTAACTTTAACTATTGTTTATTTATTAATAATGAGATTAATTTATATGGTGGCTGAGAATCGCCACTGCTGAAAATAAAAAAGAATGCAAAAAAAGGAACCACAACGGAAGTTACTGATGCAAAAGAAAAAGAACCAAATAAGAACCAAATGATCTGTAAGGAATATCAGTTTTGATTAGAAAAAATAATAAATTGTTAACTTTTACATGTTGATAAATGTGTTATAGATTTTGAATTGACTGTAGGTCTGCTGGGGAAGAGACGGGTCAGAATTTGGGTTTGATATACCCAACAGTTTATTAGTTATTAGCTGGCACTTAAAACACACAATAAATGACCATATGATCGCACTATGAGTTTCATTTTAGCATTTTTGGATGGGACACCTTACCATACTGTTTGAATACTTAAGCATTATTTTTCTCGAAACCCATCCATACCTCTTTAAATACTTAAAAAACTCAGCAAACCTGTCTAAAATGAGTTGTGTGATTTAATATTGGAACTAAGTTTATAGCACTCATGACTAAAAAGGAGGTGAGAGCAGCTCTCTCATCAGTACTCTGCCATAAAGAAAATGAAATTTTCAAACCAGCATTAAAAGACTTGATTTTCCAGATAGTAATGCCATAATCCTGTAATAACAGTTAAAGAAGTTTACATTTAGGATGATATCACTGTGATTGCATTGTTGCCTTACAGGAGGAAGGTGATTACATCCTGAATGCTCTCTAAGTTGAGTCTGCAGTTTCTCCTCGCTGTGAGTCCTTCTGGGTGGCTCTACACATTACATTATTCATGTTTTGTAGATGTACTTAATATCATAGTTTTTCAGATGTTTTAGTAGATCTTTACATTCAAATACACATATTACCAATTGATTAGTTGCTTTTCAGTGTACAAATCTGTAATGTACTGTCTATTTGTAGTCCATAAAAAGCCTCTCCTCACTCCTCACTGTTTATAATTTATGAAACTATGAGTCATGATCTTCATATGCCCTGATCAGTACTTTGGTGCACAACTTCATTCCCAGCTTTTGTGAGTAGTCGTTTGACGTTGTAGAGCAAAAATCGAGTTGCTAGCATACTAGATTTAGAATATAGTCATACAAAATAAGAGATTATGAGTGCTTTGTGATGACCAATAAAGAGAAAAAATTCTGCTAAAGTGCATGCTCATAAACAACTTGTAAATTGCAAATACACATAACTTTATGTGAAGTGTTTTTATTGAAATCCTGGGACTCACACACACACACAAGCTTAAAACAGATAATCAGCACCACACACCCACACCCACAGAAATATGCATAAGATGTAAAACCACGCCCGGAGGAGCTGATTACAGAAAGATCCGTCCCAAACTACCAGCCGGGTGATTCTTCACCAAACCACAGCAGAGAATCTGTGTAACGAAGAGCAGAACTCCGAGGAATCTAGGTCTCTGCACCTCCATCAATCTTTGTGTCTGGACTGTCTGCAGCAACTTGTGTAAGATACATGGACCTCCCCGGACCTCCATCCCGTTGTAATTGATCACAAGCATAATAGGGTATCGAGCAAGGGTGAGATGAAGATTCAATTAGCATTGACTGTGTGTTTTCTAATGAAATTCTGAGCGCCATTATCGTCACATCAAAAGTGTGGAGAGCAAAGAGCCGACCACTCTGCACTGAGGGAGGAAGAAGAGAAACACTGAGCGAGGCAGAGGTGTGTGAGTGTTTGTTTTAATCCCAGAAGAGGTGGGCAGGTTGGTTTAACCTCTAATCCAGATGCATGTTTTCCCATAGAAATGCTATCGTGCGTCACCAATCCTTGAGCTCATAAAGAAAGGAGGAGAAAGCAAATATTAAGCAGCTGAGATTATAACAGTGGCAGCAGTAAATACAGCAGTCAATAAAATAAGAGAGAGCCACCTGGAGGTTTAGGTACACCTGAAAAATGTTTGCCCAGATTTTCTCCACCTGAATGATCAAACAAGCAAAAACCTGTGCGCAGTATTACCTCCAATACAATAAGTATTTTCAGTCTCTGAGTTAATGTGGTCAAAAATGATACCTCCCTTGGATTCTATTAGCATAAATACAGATTTTCTCAAAAGGAGCCGAACACCACCCATCATTTCAAGAGCGTTTCACGGATGGTTTTCATGTTATAATTGGATCCGTAACCAACTTTCCTCCAGTATATTTAAGAAAATTAAACTTACATATCTTCACAGAGAGCTCGGGCATGAATTCCCAATCAGAGTGAAATGTAACTTTATTCATTATAGTGCCGGAGCTGACTGAGATTGATAGTGTGAGTGTGCTGCACAGCGTCTGCTCTTTGTACTTCTGGCCCTGAACAAAAACATTCACACATCAGTGAAAAAGACAGACAGTTTAAGAGATTTTAATGTGCTTTTTCATACAGTATATTGTATGCATATCCAGCATAGCATTTCTCATACATATAACTCTCTTATATCCAGGGTTTGCAACGTAGAGCTGAGGGGATGATTAACAGTCAGTCTACCATAACATTAGGTCTGCCATACAACGGTGGCATTGCACAGTCACCTCACAGGGCACAACTCCGTTTCCAGCTGTTTTCAATTGAGTCCTCCAAATGCAAAAAAGTAATAACACTAAGAAACAAATATCTAAAAACAGTAGGAGTGCTGAGGTTGAGTACAATATTTACAGAAATAAAAATTAAATTAAAACGGAGGGGAACCAAATACAAACTTGGAAAGTAATTCAGAGAAATCCCCAATATTCTAACCACCTTTAACTCTGATTATACTTTAATTAAATCCACAATTCACAGCAGTTCAGAGGCAAAAAAACTGTCCCCTGCTTCTTCTTTGTAATCAATATGACTATCATCCTCCATTATCATAATAGTTATCGTCGTTGTAGTCATTAATAGAGTCTCTTTTTTTGCACTTCTCAGTTCAGTCGCATGTTCTTATCCAAAGTAAGGGTGCTCACTTTGGAAGTTGTAGTCCGGACACACTTTCTGAACCAGCTTGTAGTCGATGCTAAAGAAAGAGATGAAGATGCAGATCACCTTGAAGGGTTTGGCACAAAGCCAGGCGGCGTGGGACTGGGTGTGCTCTGTGAAGCAGGTCTGAGACGGGTCGTACAGGCAGGGTTTGGGCTTCTTGGATCTGTTGGTTTTCTCATACTCCACCCGGCAGTTAAAGGTTTTTGACTCTTTGGGGTCCACGGTGGACTGATGGGTATCCTGGATCTGGACTTCCTGCTGAGTGTGGGGGTGAAGCTGCTGCTGCTGGAGGACCTCGAACTCCACTACCTTAGTGGGCGGCACGATGCTCACAGAAACATTACCCAGGCTGGAGGAGTTGTGGCGGAAATAAACGGTGAACGTCCCGTTGATGTGGTCCACGATCTTCCCTGTCACCAACAAACTGAACTTCATGGTCTTGACGTTGAAGTAGAAGTCCCCCCAGCCGAAAATCTTCTTGGTCTTCATCGCCGTCTTTAGCGAGGGCTTGCGCTTGGAGCGGTAGCCTGTCTGGTCCAAGAGTAGAGACTGATTCCGGGCTGAGTCATACGGGTTAAAGAAACTGTAGGTGGGAGGCTTGGATTTCATGGGGGTCTGATCAATGGACGTAGAGAAGATGCGTGTTTGGTATGGAGGCTTAACCACACCCCCTGTCGTTCCCCCTGCAGCGCCTCCACCCATGCCGTATGGGATGGTCTTCATCACTGACCCCACCGGGCCCAGGTCTGAGAAATCCACCTGCTTCTCCAACCCTTGGACCTGGAGAAAAATAGAAGAGAGGGAAAGAAGATTCAACATTTTGAGATCGCAACAAAGGATTATTTTCAGCAACTGAGAAAATTACAACATTAATACTCAATAAGGTTATGAAGGCAGTTATAATTGTGAATTAAACAAGGAGAAGTCCATAAAAGGTGAAGGCGAAGGTGGATGTATTGATCAAAATTAAGTCAGATAGCCCTCAAATATGATGTTTGGTGCCTTTCACCAACTGTCACTCAAACATGACCAGAATCATTCTCAAACTTTAACCTGATGATGTTTGTTTTAACTATCTCTAAGATTTTGGTTTTAAATCAGTCTTGACCTTTGCAGATCTAACTCCTACCCCACCAAAAAGATAACATTACAACAATCTCTAAGTAAAGAGAACTGTGAGGATTTAGGAAAGTAATATTGCATTTTGGGGGGCTGGTATGGCTGTCTAATTGGAAAACACTGAAATATGTCGCCAAGAAAACCTTAGACCAGACAACTGTGTAGTTTTCTTTACTTAACTTGATAGACTTGACTGTAAGACATGTTATTTTTTGACAACTAAGAGGGTTTTATTTGGGGTTTCAAACACAAAATCAAGCTGAACTGACGCTGTTTTTTTTTTCCAGGTTTAGGGTTAGGGTTCACTATAAACAGCTAATTTGACTTTTTGAAAGTCAACAGGATAAGAAATCTTGGGTCACCAAAACTGACCCAACCAACATGTCCTCACAGGAGCTTTAAATAGGCAATTAAGACAAATATTGTGTGGGACATTATAATCGTTCTAATCAACAGCAAATTTGACAGAGTTTTAACCCTGCACATTTGAACCAATTTTAATTAAAATCTGATTAAATCGACGGACATGCTCCTCAGTTAAGCAATTTCAGGGTTTGAGCACTGAATAATAATTGAATGCTATCAACCACCTTTCTGATAGTTTTTGCATGTCCTTCTAGCCTCTGAATAAAATCCTGCCCCACTGTATTCTACAATTTTACACATCGTCATCATCTCAAATGTTGTCGAGGTCACTCTGCTGCACAGAACCTTTTTTACCTCACAAGAGTTTTATTTTCTCCAGCATCTAAATTGTTAGATGTAGCTGTGTTTCATCTCCCGAATCCGAGAAAATAAAACCATCTATTTTTGTTAACACACTTTAATTTTGTTGTCAGTGTTGTTCCGGGGAGAAAAACAACTCTGCATGTAAGGTAATGGATGTGAGCCTTTGTTAGTTCAGACAGCTTTCTGCCTTTAATCCACGGCAGAGGTGCTTATTCGCTGGGCTGATTGACTGGAAATCTTCCTCTGCTCTCTTTCATGTCTCATCAATCACATCGCTGCCATGCTCCCATCCATATGCATACATGTACACACACACGCGCACGCTTTTAAAACACACACACACTCAGGCTCACAGACACATCCCCACACATGTGAACTCCAAGCTTGGAGCTGTCATGAAGTGACAGCGAAAAGTATTACAACTACTCAGAGGGGTTATATGTGTTTCCCCTGGGGATGCATTTGGATGGAGTTTAAAACTGCTCCACGAGCAGATAAACAAACTAAACAAGAAAAAAAAAACGAAGACGGCATTTCAAAAACAAGCACGAGATCAGATCTTTGTGTCTACTCATGTTTCTGTCTCATTCCCTCACTCCTATGCGGGGCAGTGGAACCGACAGGTTTGTGCCAAAGCTCTCCTCGTCTTTCATCAATCACTGAACCTAATAATAACTCCACATTGCAACGGTGAAGCGCTCAATACAGCACCTAATGTATTCAGTCATTCAATTAATGCATCTATGTCTTTTGGCCATTCATTAACATACCCGCAGAGCCGGTTTCTAAGTAGATTGATTGAGGGGAAAATAACTGAAAGTTTATTGACCACCAAAGGGAACGCATTAGTAAGAAAAGAAAGGTGTTGATAAATGACCTGTGACTGGGATAATGACCCGGTGAAGATTTTTAACAGGCCCCGACTGGATTTTTGCTGCCATTGCAATTTGCTGCCATGTAAAGCTATTTCAATAAGTTTTTTTTTTTTTTTTAAGTGGAGCCTGATTAAAAAAGAAAAACAACAGAATCAAAAAGTGAGGATGTTTACGTTGTCTGAGTCAGATATATTAAACTGAAAATTTCACATAACCTTGAATCCAGCAAAAGTAGAAATATTTTTTGAAGCAATACAATACAAATCATTAAAATATTATACAATACACTGATATTAAATAAAAGGATACTATACGAAACTATAAGATAAGACACAAAAGAAATTATTCTAATTTATTTGATGTGATTTGGGACTGATAGGATACTGTATGATAACAAACAATGTGATTAAAACAATATAGAATGGCATGGAAAGATCCAGGATACCAGATGACTTGGAACAACATAAAAAACAATATAATACAACTTTTACAACATGCGAAATTATATAGCAAGAGCTGGATGACATGGTATGTTCTATTACATAAGACATAATGTGAATGGTATATTAGGCATGATATGATACATTATGATACAATACAATATCAAGATACACTATGATGATACAATATTATGCATGGAAAGATTCAGGATACCAGATGACTTGGAACAATACAAAAAACGATACAATACAACTTTTACAACATGCCAAGTTGTACAGCAAGGGCCAGTTCTACACAGTACATTAACATAAAGTATTGTACAGGATGACATGTTCTGTTAAATAAGATACAATGTGATTGGTCTATTAGGCATGAAACTATATATTACGATACAAGTCAATATCAAGATACACTATGATGATACAATATTATGATATCACACTGGGATATGATATGTTAGCCTTCGATACAACAAGATACATTAGCTTACATTACGTTACGATAAGATACTATTCAATACATTACGATATGATGTGATATTGTATGATATGTTGTGGTTCTGTATGGTATGGTAAGCTAAGGTAATGTCTGTGCATTACTGTCCTCATGGGGATGTTTGTTTTCCTTGTACTTGAATGTTGCATACATTTATCTGTCTTCACAGTAGTATGCACACTACACATAAAACACAACACGACTGATATAAAATAAGAACACATGAACACCTTTGAGCAATCGGAAAGCCCCTGTAGTGGCAAGAAAGCGAATGAAAAATGTTGCTCTACCTGGACACTTCTTTATTTTACATTTCGGTACAATGGGGTTTTATCGATCCAAAATTTCCTTCTGCATTTCTGAGCTAATAAGAGACATACCTTAACTTATCATTGGGCTAAAGAGCCTGTTGACAGAATAATGCATGGAATATAAAATCTACTCTTATGAGAAAAATTTTTTCATATTTGTATCTAACTTTTAGATGAATTATTAAATGGTTGGATTTGAGGAAAGAGGGCCGGACTGACCCCCAGCACTACCAATTGGATAAGTCTGGTCGATGCAGTAGTCTTGCAGTTTTTAAGCTGGTGAATTAGTGATGTGAGCTGACTGCTGCAGTGACAGGTAAGAATAAGCTACACTTGATGGCAGAAAAACATCCAAATATGGACAGCAACAAACACTGTGTACAGCGCATGCAAGATAGGGACTTCCTGTGAATGCGCTGTCAGCAGTGCTGTCAGCTAGCTCTGTGTGTTGCCATCTGTCAGGCTAACGCTCTGCTGGTGCAGTCCTAATCATTCCTCCTGCTGATGGCACACAGCTCGAACTAGCACCATCATCATAATCCTTAACCATCCTCAGCGGCACCATCACGCCGTGAACCTCCACCTAACCTTCAGGGTCAACTGTACCAAGCTCAGAAATGATTTCATGATGGGGTCTGAGGTCAGCCTGGGCCTCTCTAAGGGAGAACAAGCAACTGTACGCAGTCAGCAACTTCAACAAACATCGATTGAGCTGAAAAAGAGGAGCTACAGAGGGGCTTCTTCTGTGGCACGAGAGAAATAAAATGCCAACAGAAACCAATAAATAGACGGACTTGCTATTAGCATAAATATGAAATATTTTTTTTGTGCTCGACAGTAAATCCATTCAAAGGGTGAGGATTTGTTAGAAGAAATATCAAATATTTTACCTTGACATAAAATCTATAAGTATAGACTTTTTGCAAAACGGTGGATGTTTGCTATAAGGTCATATCAGGCTTCTGCAACCAGCGAAAAGATTCACTGTCTGAAAAATCACACCTTTCATACCGCTCAGTTTGGATTCAGTGAGAGAGAGAGAGAGGTAACTTTTGGAGCATTAACCAGGGGAACGCTGCAGGGGTGATGAAAAGGTGATGAGGCTGAGCTCATACAGGTCCGCACGCACGCACGCACGCACGCACGCACGCACACAACAAGACACTTACATAGAAAGATTCTTTGGTTACAAGTGAAAGGATCTCAAGAGTTTACAACAGTTATTCAGCACTGACAACTTAAATGAAACTAATTTAACTGTCGTCACTTTATTCATAAGGAAAAGTGATAATTATAGACACTAGAACGTGGCATTTGGTGGATGGTTTCATCCACAGCTCTTCAAGTACTTGAATGTACTTCAGATCAGTCACTTAAATCCAAGTCTACTACTATTTTATTTTAAACTTGGATCAACAGATAGATCACTTCAATTATTTTCTTTTGACCATCTTTCAGTCTTACTTATGCTTAGGATTTAGTTTTTGCACATTTAACTTTATGATTAGGCATCTGTATATGGTTAAAAACTGTCACTAATGATTTTGAAGTGATTGTTTTCTATTTAAATGTCAAATTATTATGTCAGTTGCAGAAACACAGCTCTGGCAGACATACTTCATCTGAAATATACAATATAAAGAAATGTGTCATTGGAATCAAATTACTCATAATGTTTAAAGTAAAAAACTTTATGGGAGAAGGATTTTAAATAATTTTTCTAATGTGAGTATAACATTTGGACTTTTGGTGGCCTATATAGTCAACTAAATGTCGTATTATGATAAGACTCAAGACCCCAATATGAAGCAGAGAAGCTACAAACTTTAGGGGAAACAAGACAGCTGAAATCTAAAAATAACTAAATAATAAATGAAATAATTACCTAAGGAGTTTTAAAAAATAAACCTGCTGCCTGTTACGAATTAATTCATCATTAAATTGAACATTTTAATTCACAGTCAAATATTACCTTGCTTATTTGTGATAATCTTTGTAAGAATGAATGTCTCAATTGACTATTAAAGCTCCTGTGAGGAACTTTCAGTTTGAGTCAATTTTGGCGCCCCCTGTGGACAATGCAGTCTTTGCTCATCTTGTCCTCTGCATGCGCTCACCATGCAGCTTCAATAACAACTGGGAACCATGTTTTCTACACAGCCAGAGGCTTACAGTGACTCTCTAAAAATGACCTGTTTGTCAAAATGGAAAATGCACCTTCACCTCCTCTCAGTTTGAGAAGTGGAGCAACGTCCTGACAACAAATCAGGGAAAAATTCCCTCAAGTTGAAACAAACGACAGCAGAACAGATTCTTGTGTTGATTTGAAGCAGAAACTCACAGCTCTGCAGAGTTCACTGACTCTTGAGTTCATGTTTCATTGTCTACAATAAACGAGCGAGGCTTCAAGACTCGTACTAGAGCCAATCACCAGGAGGGGCTGTAAAAGACTTGGCTTCACTTTGGACAGCTGTTGTCCTGTCCATGGTTTTATGCAGTATATATTATGCCTTCACTCTGTCGTTTGGCAAGTAGAAGGGCAGTCTTTGTTTAGCAGGTTGACATTTGCCAATAAGCATTTCACGAATATGATACAATCTGCTGGTGTTTGGTCATAAATAAAAGAGCTAAATTGACAAATGATAGATGATTGAAATAGTTACTGCAGTTCCTCTTGAGAGGCACAAAAATGTCATGGAAATCACTCCAATAGTAGTTGAGACATTTAATTTAAGTCACACGACTGAAGCTTGTGTGAAAAGTCGGAGGAGTATAAAAATCACCAGGTTTCATCCTCTGGGCATCATGAAGATCTGTATTAAATTCAATCATCATCTGTTACAGCTGTTGAAATATTTCAGTCCCAAAAGAGTGATTGATGTTTCCCTCCCGAAAGCTACAAGGATAAAATCTGTTTCTGAATACGAGGAGGTTAAATTTAAGACGAGGACATAAAACTGCTGGTGAAAACAGTACTTTACCAGAGAAATAGATGTAACCTGTCATGTCATGGGTTCTCTCCCCCGTCTACGAAGTCCCCCACATATTGAAGCTCTACACATGTCAACAAGGCATTAGTGTTTCCACCATTAAGGAATGAAATTCCTGTTTGTCAGGATGCTCGGGGAATCACAGCAGAAGATGGAATAAGTTTTATGGTGGACTTATACATATGTATGATACAGACAACTCAATAAGAGCACAATCACAGGAAGAACAATCAGATTACAGAGCTTGGGAGAGAGAGGGAGATAGTGAAGAAAATGTTATTAGTGGAGGAGTGAGATGAGCTGAGGAGAGTGTAAGGAGATCTTGAACATTTTCAAAGAACGGGGGACATTAATCATCTTTAACTTCATTTGGAGGTTCATACGAGCAGAAAAGCATCTTTAGTCGCTGCTTAGAAGCGAGGAATATAACCCACCTGGAAGTACATGCAAGAATGAAATGTGGGGATTGTTCAATGAAGAGATTATAAGTGAAGCTCAGACAGCGAGGGACCACGAGTGACAGAGAAATGAGACAACATGATCGTACTCACAGAGAGAGAGAGAGAGACAGACAGACAGGGCGTCTCTCAGAGTGGACCTTCACTTGGAGAGACTCTACAGCTACACTCACTGCTGTTGGGAGCTGACTAAGTTAAGGTGTTGTATATAAAAATACTGCAGCAAGTCCTGGAATAACTCTTGCTGCCACACAAACACAAACATTTAGTAAATATTGTTCCAACATGCATACAAGTGCGTTTCAATAAGCTGTTACCATGGGAGGTCACATGCTCTGAAAGGAAAAGTTTGTGGCTAAAACCAGCAAACTTTGGTACTCAGGATCGAGTTTGTTGTCATAAATTATACCATGTTGAATTTAAGTGACAAGGACATTATTAGCTTTTTAAACTAGACTAGTCAAAGTGTTTCAGCGTCGATTTATTATAACTTGTAAATTTGTCAATGCCAAAATGATTCATGTAATCCTTGTATCCTCTTCACTGAATCTAATTACTGTAATGTTGAAAAAACGGATTTTTCAATGACATTTTTATTTGCTGATCACCGACTAGGGCTGCACGATTCTAGCCAAAAACAAAATCCCAATTTTTTCTCTGAAAACTCAGTTTTAGTGACAACTTCACCAAGCTTCACTTTAAAAATAAAAAGTTTTTCTATCATCTCTCAGAACGAAAACCACTGATATAGTGCATATGCCAAGCCAGTAAGTGGCGCTGTAATGCTGCATGGGAAATGCACTCAAGGTGGCCCAGAGGTGTGGGACATGATAGAGAGGGAAATTGATTTGATGATTTTAATTTTTTTAAACATTGTCATAATCAAATAATCTTATTACAATTTAAAATCAATGAATCGTGCAGCCATATCACCTACCCTCTTCTTTGACTGTCTTCCTGTGCCTTCCTTTTTTTGGTTGCTAGCTTATGGTCTTATACTACGCTTCCACCTCATGCTAAAGGGATGGGGATTGTACTTATTGGCTGTATTCACACATGCATAAAAGTTTTACACACCTCCTAGAAATGTTGAGATGGGCTGCAGGAATAAGATGTAAACAAATTTGTCAGACTGAAATCGCAGAATAATTTCTCAATATTTAAATACTCTAGCTGGGGATTGATTTTCTATTGCATGTATACACCCTGATCGAACTCCAAACTGACCTTAGATTTTTGTGTGTACTTCACAGCATGATGGATGGATGCAGGGTCGCAAACTTTACATTAACAGTATGAAAGAGAGGTGTAAAGTAAACAAAAGGTAAAGAGCTGTAAAGATGACATGTAACCACTTTTTGCTAACCTGTTGATAGTTTTGGCATTAGAAGTAACAGGTCGACTGATGAATTATTTAGGGCTGAACGATTCCTTGAGTACCGCGATTACAAAAAATGATCGAGGAATTCTCTCTGCCTCGAGTACTCGTTTATAAGCTCCAATTATCACTGTTTCGACGGTTTATTTTCAAGGTGACACAACGCGCTTATGTCACCACGGTAGAAGGAGCAGTAAGCGCAGTTTCGGTTTTGCGGATTGGAAAAAAAATGAATGATGAGAGGGACTTTTCTTCTGCAGAGCTCCAGCTCATTAGCAATTCGCCTCTGAGTCGTGGGCAGAGACAGCGCTGCTCTGCACACTTCTCTTTATGCTTGCAGCCTAACATTGTCGGTGAAGTAGAAGTAGCAGGTAACAGAGGAGCTACTCAGCTCTCGGACGTTAATATCTTTGGGGGCATGATGAAAATTAATATAATTAACTTTTGTACGAGTATTGCAATCCGCTACCACACACTCTTGTTCTGCGATTGCGCTGCGATAATTGCACTAAAAATATATATATATTTTTTATACTAAAATATTCAATAGCTGCAGCCCTAGAGTTTAATATCATAACTGGCAGAAAAGGGGAATACCACCCCCTAGTGTAGTGGAGGCGTACATACTTTTATTAAAAAAACTGATTCTCACCTGTTGCTTGTATACCAAGCCAGAACAGTGAGTATGCATATGAATAGACTGTCTGTGAGGGATATGTGTGAGTAAGAAGCTGAAGTGAGTTTTGGGGCTGAATCCATGAAAGATAATCGATAATTTCCTGAGTGCACGTGTGAAAAAGACTCATGTAAAGGCCCCTGAAACAAATGTGTGAAAATTGAGCAGAAGCGCCTGGACAGTGAGTCAAGGTGGTTTGAGAGAAGCCCATAGACTGTGCAGGGAAGTACTTTGCACTGGCTTATTAAATGAGAAAAGGTCAGATGAGCTCTTGAACCGACCGCTATAACCTGATACATCATCTGCCACCACAATTAAGATCTCTTTTCATCATTAAGGAAGCTCTGGATCAATGGCAGCACCTCCGTCTCGGCTTTTTCTCTCACTCTCTCTCTGTCTATCGGGTATCTGATCTTCTGTCTGCAGCCCTCTCACTCTTACATTCATCCATAACTTCCTCACCTCCTTCACAGCGAGAGCATTCAGAGGAAATGGACCTCACTCACCGACCTGCTCTCTCCGCCTCTCCTTCCTTCCTCCCACCCTCCCCTCCTCCTTCCCTAACCTGAGGACTGATGGGAAGAAGAGAGCTACACGTCTCGGAGATCTCTCCCAGGCTTGTTCTTTTGTTTAATTGGAGTTTTATTGGTGACAATCAATTCATTTCTATCTGTGCTCGGGGCTGCATTGATCTGCTGTCACAGAGAGGAGTCAAATGTACAGTTCCACTCCCACACCACAAACTGCAGACTCTGATGCCGGCTACTGATAGTTTTTGGAGTCATTTTTTTCAACTCTCTGTTTCTCCTTCTTCACTCCTCGTTGTGATGTGAAGCAGGGATGTATTTTGTTCTTTTTTTTCCCCATCATATTTTCTTCTTTAAGACCAAGAGACATCACAAACAATTTCTTAGTCATCAGAAGACGCTTAAGCAGAATGAGACGTTGTAGAGTCTAGATGCAGATTACTCTTTGCTTTGGGAACACTGTTTACTCAAAATCACAGCTTCTTTTCACTGAGACAAAAAAAGACGAAAAAGTTATCTCGCTGTGTTCACTTTTCCTCATTTTTTACTAGGAGTTGTGATGTAAGACCCTGTAATATCTACTTCCATTTCTGTTAACCCGGCACCATTTATAATCCTGAAATGAAGAGTGCCTCGCAGTGATTGAACAGGTGAGAAGGTCATTACTGAAGAAAATCTCCACAGGACTTTATGATTTCTTTTTCCGCACAATTCTGCCAATACAAGCTTCGCTGGACTGTGATGTCAAATGTACAGCGGGGCAGAGTGTGAAGAGGATGTCTCAGGGTTAGAGCCTCAAAGCTGATGTAGGAAACGGATGATTTTCCCCTTCAGGATGGGAGGAAATTAAAGGGAAAGACTTCAGATATTTGGGAGTTTTAAAGGCAACTGAAGGTAACACAGAGATCAAGATCATCATCCAGACTACTGTTTTTTGAAGATGTGGAGCTCATACAGTTGATTTTTATTCCAGCTAAAACCATAATAAACTTATTTAGGCTGAATTTAAGACTTAATTTACACCTATTCCCTGTTTTAGCCTTGAGTATATAGCTATACTGAGTCTACTGCGTTTATACAGGATACCTTCTCTCAGTGGGAAAGTTCGAGGTTTGATCCCAGCTCCTTGTGTCCATATACAGACTGAATATGGACTGTATATGGTACATGTATGTGGACAACTTGGCTCCGCCTTCCGTCATTTTCACTAATTTGAAGCGGAATTGCTCTCCGTAGTTCCAGGATTTTCTCCACTTCCTGGAGCCACCACTTGCGCTGTAGCGTTGTGCGGATTCAACAGGAGAGTCGCTGAGAATCATGTGATAAAGCTCTGCTAAAATACAATCTTCATATGCCCATAAGCTGTATCAAGTGTCAATCATAGAAAACGTCAACATCACAATTGGGGGCAGAAAAATGTATATTCTGTATAATAAATTTCTAAAGTTTGTCCACAGCTCCATAAGGATTGCCGGAGGAGTAGGGATTTATGACCTATACTGGAGCCCGTCACCAGAGGGTGCTGTTCACGCGGCGGCTTCACTCAGTGACCCGGGATTTGCACCGCATCTGAATCGGCTCAGATCCGAAACGGCAGCAATTCTCGCCGCACGCCAATTCCTACCGGATCTGTTTGTGAGGCGAATTTTGTGGCGGATTAGCATTAGCAGGAATCACGAGAACCCACAAGAACCCACGGATTCATGTGCAATCGCGTGATAACAAGTTGTTTTTAGCCACACAGGCTAACCATGTTGTGTCCTTCCAGAGGAGTATATCCACCTCTAGACTTCTAAAATCAGCATCGCCTCATCCATGGTGTCATCGGGATCACTTGTTCGTCCCCGCCCATTTGCATAGTGTGAAATACTATCCGCCTGAAACATGGAGTGTTTTATTTTGAAAAGAAGCCGGATGTTTTATTTTGTGTCTGTGCCTGACTTCCTATCCAGCACAGGTTAATCTGTGCTGAATATATTCGGCGTACTCCGGTGTCTGGAAAAAATAGAACTCTTGCGATCAGCTGCGGAGTCAGGCGATCTGCAGCAGAACGAAAAGAAGCCGGTGGAAATTGACACGTTAACTTGAATGGTTACGATCAGCTAAGATCAGCGGATTTGGCTTTTTTGTAGCCGTTCCAGATGCGGTGGAAATTGCCCATGAGGAGGCAGACGGCGTCTATTCTATATACAGTCTATGCACTAAACACATAACTGCTTGTTGGAGATACAGCTTGTGGTATGTGTGTGTATGGGTGTAAAAATAACTTAACAGTATAGCAAACTCTGCCACCAGTGTATAAATATGGCGTGATCAGGTGACTGTGTCATGTAGCATAAAAGACAGATTGTTGATAAGATTAAAATGTGAATGCACCTTGGGAAATAATGAGCTGGTAATTTCATGATGTGTGAGAAGTGAGGAGTGACATGAATAAATAAAAGCATGTGGAGAAAATCTAACAGTTTTATAGCTCATAAATCATAAACCCAGTTGGCACCAACCAGACTCATCATGATGAAATCAGTTTGAAAACAAGTTGAAATCAGGTCTGGATGTTGGAGACCATTTTTAAACCTTTCATCAGCTGGCAAATTAAATCAATGCGCATAAAAAAACAATTTTCTCTGAATATTTTAATAATCTGTGAAATTAAATTAAATTCAAATCACTTTGTTTGTCCCCCAGGGCCAATTTAAAGGGCATGACAGCAGTTTAAAGAGACGAACAAACAAACCACACAACTGTAATGAAAATCCTGCCGGGGTCTTTATGGTAGTTTTTTAAAGGTTACTATTACACACTGTTCACTCTCACAGTTATTGTGTTTGGTTTTATTTATGTAGTTAATACCAGTGCAAGCAGATTTCCGAGTGAAATTCAATCAAACATAAAACCTTAAATTAAAAAAACTTTCACTTTCATTTTTGAAAGTCAGTTTAATGGTGAACATTTTTAAGCGTCATTACTCACTGGGAATGTCTGTTTTTTTCTCTGTCAAGTTAATTTACTGATTGCAAGTTTACTGTAACCTATCTGCTCATGTGTTTATTTTGTTCTTGACTGGGCAGTATGCAACCTATGAACAGAGAAGAAGAACAACGTGCAGCTACAACAAGCCGACAGGAGAGTATAAAATAGTGTCACTGGTGTAGGGATGGGCGATATGGGCTTAAAAAATATATCAGATCTATAAGATTTGCCATTCTAGTGATGACGATAAAAGTCCCAATAAAAAAATATTATGGTCCAGTCAATATTTTTGACTCATTTTGCCTTGAGAACACCAGTTGGAGTAGTCAAATAAGATACTTAACCACAAGTTTTACTGGTAGGTTGTGGACAATCAAATGTGAAAACATTTTGCATATTTGTTGAAAACTCTTATTGCACAGAGTGAACAGCAGCAGATCCACTGTCCGATGTCAGACATACCTGATTGCACTCATCTAAACCCCAATCTTGAAGGAAATCCTTCATGTGGAGCCTCGTTCAGTAACGCCATGTTTGTTTTTCATTTTGCTCTGTGTGGGCTATGGCTACGAGTCTGTCGCTCGCGCTTATGTCATCAACTTGCATTTATCGTATTTATCATGAGATGGCAAATATTTATCAAAGAGGATTTTTCTGATGATATATCGTGGATGTTCATCAACCTTTTCGACAAGGATAGCGTGACTTCCACTTGCAAAACTTGTGCCCTAAATAATCCAAGAGGAGGAAAAAGTTTAAACACAGAGAAAACTTTGAGAAGCTGTCACTGCAGAGAAGTTTTATTAAATAAATACAGAGCGTATTACCTTCTTTTTAATTGTTTTAGTCTTTCAAAATGTCATATGTTGCTGCCAGTTTTTGTCTTTTTATCCCCCGTGGAGCACTCTGAGCTGCACGCTTGTATGTATGAAAGGTGCTGGGTAAATGAAGGTGAGCTGAGTTAAAAACAAAAAAGTGCACTTACTAGCTGCCTGGTACATGTGGCTGACACCTGTCTGGGAGAATAATTAGGGACCCAAAGGCAGACTTTGACATCAAAAAGCCTCCAGTTTGCAGCCTAACAAATACAGGTCCCAGATTGAGAGATTTTTTTTTTTTTTTTGACGTAACCGAAAGAAAGACAGACATGGCCTTGGTGCAAAATGAAGAACAAGCTGCAGCTCTGAATAAACTAAGACTGATTGCCAAGCAGCTCTGCAGGTGATCTAAATAGACGAGACACTCACTCCAAAGGTGGCTCGTTGGAAGGACAGAAAACAAAGAAGATGTAGAAATATATATTCAAGAGTAGTGGGCGAGGATCTTGGACACTCAAAAGGAGATATTCAAACAGGCGCTCGTGTGTGGAGACGGGACGCTGTTTGAACATGACAGACGCCTCCTTGTAGCACCTCAGGGTAAACTTAGAGGGCTCATCTCAGGGATTACAAATCCCAGAGGCGCAATGGCGGGATCCCTTTGGAAATGAAGGACCGTCTGGCCTACTTAAAAGGCAAAAATGGACGGCTGGACATCCAAGCAGATTGAAAGTATACGACAGAAGTCAAATATATGTCTGTGAGGTAAAAACAATTCTATTTTTCTTTTTGTTTGCGAGATAATAAATTTCATTAGTGAGGTAAACAGAGAGAGAGAGATGAGCATATTTTGTTCTTGGTCCTGCTGCTCAGCTTCGTTCCATTAAAACAGCAGTGACTCTGTTCTGCTCTGACAATGATCATAAAATAATAAAAAAGAAACTTTTTCTTCTCTCTTCTTAAAAAAAAAAAAATGGGAGAACTAAAAATGACATTTAATTACAAAAAGCAAAATAAAGCCAGGAGGAAAAAAGATAAACCAGTGGAGGGAAAATGTAGGAAAGAGGGGGAGAGAGAGAGAAAGAGAGAGAGACAGAGAGAGTAGGGGTAAAAAAGAGAAAAAGAGAAAAAGAAAAGGCAGTAAAAGCGATTTCGCAGTCCAGTGGTGTCGCTGGATTATCATGAAAATGAAAGCTACTGAGTCAGGGAGTATCAGGGAGCAGGGAAATGGAGCCCAGACAGATAACACAGTAAGGGAGGAGAAGAAGAAAACGAATAAGAGAACTAGTGTTGAGAAAGCACGGAGCTCTGTAAGACAATATGAAAAAGAAAGTCCAAAGAAAAGGAGAGAGAAAAGGTAAAAAGACAATATATATACGGCACACAGTGAGATTATGAGTGCAATAAGCCAAAAATGAGAATCACTTCACCCCAAAGAGAATAATCAGAGGTTTCTTGAGAAGTAATATCTGTAATATTGTTTCAAGAAGACCGGCTCAGCTCCCAAATAATTTTTACTTAAAAAGGAATGAAGTCTTTTTCTCCATGTGTCAGGTGAAATGTTGGATGTACTCATGTTGAACATGAACAAAAGTTTCATACAGCAGAAAATGCAAAGAGTGATGTTTAGTACAGAAAATTAACTACTGTGAAAGAAAGAAAGAAAGAAAGAAAGAAAGTCCTCTGCCCTTTAGAGCTGACATAAGAGGATTTGTGGAGGTATTGTTTGCCAGCTTAAGTGTTATATGCCGACAATATTGCAACATATTGCAGATGCCACTTAGATTGGACTCAGAGGAGGACTGCAGAAATCCCTGGTTGTTGCACGTGAAGAGCAACATGTGCAATTAAATCCAAAATGTGTGGCACCACAAACTTTGTGTTGTATTTTTGTATAGTCTCTCTTGCTTTGTTTTAGCACTTGGAGACTTTTTAATGATCCTAATGGTTCTGTTTGCTTTCACTTCTCCACAAAGCCTCATTAATGAGCATCCTCATAATGTAACCTTGAAGCGGTGCCTCATTCTTTGGACCCTGATCACATCCTCTTCATAACCGGCCGCTTACGCAGGTTAAACTGCAGGAGACAGAGGACCCTCTATTGAGTTTTGTTTTATAGCTTCTTTTATTGTGGCAGAAAGTCTGCAACAGAAATCAAGTTGGAGCAGAAGAGGTCAGCAAGAGTAAGACAGGCTGGAAGACAATATAAAACTGATATGAAGCATTTATCTGTCTTCGTTTCCCTTTAGTATTACTAAGAAAATCAAGTTTCTGAGGCACTAAGTCTCTCTAAGAGTAAATGCTGATGATTAGGGGATTCATATGAAGTCAAACAAAATCACAGTTTTGTACCTGAGTAGTTTAGCCAAGTATTATTGCACAAATCAGGTGTATTCTGGTTGTTTAATTTAAGGTGTCAAAACTATTTGGTAAGATTTAGATGCATGGATCATAGGACTTTTTCATATTACCAACTCAAGGCATGATCTAGTAGGAGAAAAAAATCAGTATCGCAATATTTTGTCTGGTGATATATCGTATTGTCGCATTGACCAAGTATCGATTTTTTCAAATTAATCAAATAGTTTTGCCGATTTGATTTCATGATAATTAATTTCATGTGTTTTAATTTCAAAATTAAAATACCATATGCTAACTCCCAACTGTTTATCAGTTCATGTAGATGAGAAATACTTCGTGGTTATGGATTTATCAATAACACAGAAAAATCCAGTGGACACTCTCTGATCCATATGGACCCCAACAGGACTTTTAACTGCTAACTCTGTCTGCACAGCATAAAGGAACACAGGCCGTTTTGGAATTCGCCTACTATACTAGCAGTACGAACTGATTTGCCCAAAATTTAGTATGCAGTAGGCAACAAATGTGAAACTTGACGTACTGATTCGGAAAAATTTCACAGTATGCATCGGACCAGTCTGCTTCGCCTACTGTTACCCACAATGCAAAGTGCCCAGGCAGACAGCGGATTAGCGGAGAGCAGCAAAAATTTCCAAATGGAAAAATAAAATCAACTGTATGTCCAGTGAGGTTGGCAAAGGTGTCGTCATAGAGCAGGAGAAAGTTAGAGCAAATATATCAGCACCTAAGGAAAGACATTAGGAATGCAAGCAGGGCGCAAATGAGATCGACCTGACTCGTAAGGTTAGCAAGATGTGCTACATGAATATAAAATACTGTATAAATAAGACAAACATAAAGGAAAGACAAATACTAAATTAGCTAAACAGCTGAAAAACTGTATAAATCGCAGTGTATTGTATCGCAATACTCACTGTTTTGCAAAAAGGTAAAAAATCGCAATAATATCGTACCGTGGCCCAAGTTTCGGGATAATATCGTATCGAGGGGCCACTGGTGATTCCCGCCCCTATGATCTAATGAGATTGTGGGACCAAAGCAAAGGTTGACTTCTAGCCAATCACAGCAAAGCAGGACGTTACTTGGCTTCATCATTCTTTAGTCTGACTCCGTCCTTCAAGAGACCCTTTTTTTTTAAATACTGAGAATGCGAATGCAAAACAACATACTGTGATGGACTAACACTTCAGTAAAGCATCCACTTTTTTTAGTGTCTCTAAGATGCTTGGAGATAAAGACTTTGTTAGCCGTTCTATGATGTTTCTTGTCTAAACCAGGTGAGATCGGGCTACAGAGAGCAGTTGTATTGAACAGACTGTTCTAAGGTTGGTTAAGATCTTCTTATCTGACCCCCATACTCACAAAATTTATGATATTTTTCCTCATGCTTCACTATTCCTAAAAACAACCGATTGAGTTCAGCAGTTTAATCCTGCCTCATTTACAGAGTCATTGAAGAAGGCCACCCTTTGCCCCACGTTGTGCCTTACTCCCTCCTACTAGTTCACCTCTATATCTACCTCTCTATTCTCATTAAAAGTCATCAAAAGTCATTGAAAAATCTCTAGACAGACACTAAAACATCTACCCCCTCTTTTCTTTGTGTTTCTCTGTTTTCATTCACGTCAGGTCTCCTGCAAACACTCTGAATTCTAGGAAATTGTTCTTTCTTATAAATCCCTTTCACAACAATCTTGCTCATTTGAAGTAGCTTCTCTCTTTGCACCCAAATCCATCTAAAGTGTCACATGGAGCTGCCCAGGACATATGTGGGTTGCATTTAAGTGACTCAGACATTATAAAAGAACAACAAAAACAGGAGGCATAACAAAATTAATTGTTTTTCCCTGGAAAAAGGTGAATAAAGGAAGGTAATGTACTCAACCACTCATGTTGATACGGCCTTCTTGGACAAAAAGTTGGGATTGTGAGAAAAATATAAGTTATTATTAACCCCCAGGAACAAACAAGCTACCAGTGAGAATGAACCACTGCCAAATAAATAAACAATGCTGACAACACATTAGGCATCAGTGCCAGCATTGTTAAAATTTCAATCCATGAGCGCTACGACAATGTTTCCATGGAATACACCCCGGAGGATACTGCTATGCCAAGGTATTAACGTTCATCCCCTCAAAATCCTACATCTCTGTGATAATAGTCACATTACCCTGACAGAAGAATAGGTAGTGCTTTCAGGCTGGAACCAGGTGCTGTGATACAATGAGATCTGCAGGAAGCAGCCAAAAATCTGCTCACACGTTGCACAGGCCACTGCATAAAACATGTGTTGTCCCGCAAACCTTCTGTGCAGCCAGCTAAAGATGTACAACAAACGCTGCTGAGGAAACTGCACATATATATGATGTGTTAACCTGCCAGCTCAAGAACTAAAACTCTGTACTTAACATTTTTAAGAAGGAGGGTACACCCCACATATGAAATCTCTGCTCTCCTTTACATCAAGAAGGTGAGAAGGGGGCAGATATGTGTAAAAGGTTGCAGAGTGTCCAGAGTTTCTTGTCAACAATTGTTGGAAATATTGACCTTTTATCTTGGCCTTTGGATATAAAACTGTTCTGGACGTCCTGTCAAGCTGAAAACAAAGACTGCAATGGAATAGTCAAAAATGGCTGAGGGCTCTTTATGCTTCTTTTGCACACGAAAATAAGCAGATACACATATTTTAATGACAAGACTGTCCCCACATTCTCCCACCAGTACTTTAGACTGGAATAGACCTTAAAGAGTACATCCACAAGACAGCACTGGTCTTGAACTGGTCTTTTTTGTCTCTGCTGTCTACCTGACGTTCAGTTTCCGTCTGATCTTCCTCCAGTCGTTCTGGTGTGGCTGTATATCTCTTTGCCCTTCCAAGGGAACATAATAAAGACTGAACACTAACAGTTTTAGCCAGCTTGCACAATCTCTATTAAGAGTTCCACTATTTCAAAGTATTCTTCTTGTGTTGTGTTTTTCTGGTCTGCTCAACACTGCCCCCACTACCTTAGGTGGTACAGCAATTTTCTGTCTGTATTCATTTGTTTCAGAAACATGCAGAAATAGAAACCAAATGGATGCAGAGTATGGTAGAAATACTTGCATTAATCCTGGATGTAGAGCGTCAATAGAACTTAGTTTTTAATGATTAACACCTGACAGAAATTTTTTGGAAATACAAAACAATTTTGTGGAAATATCATGGGTGGATGCTGTTTAAGTGAGGGATTACATGCAGCAAATGACTAAGGATGAGCAGATCTTTAGTATCTGTATATGGGCACATATACTTTGACTTTGTCAGGAACCTCTATTTCAACAAAATAAAAATAAAAAATATAAATTGACTAAATCATAAAATGCTCTGATTAAAATTATGGCACTTGTGGTGTTAGGGTCGCTGTTGACCTGGTTTGATCAACATCTAATAATCAGATCAAAAACTGAAATCATATATGATATTTTTATGGATAATGAAGCCTAACAAGGTAACCCAAAGATGAGAACCAAATTCGATGATAGAGAATTGTTTTAAGTGTAATTTACAGCTGATTTAAGACGTGGGTCAAAACTGACCCATAACATAGTTGGTGCCCAGTAAAGGCTAACTCAAGAGGAAGGTTAATAGTTGATATACACATCCTTATTGGGTGATGGTCCTAGCTGCGGTTGTCCAAGGTTGTCTTTACTCTCACAATTTTCTGTCTTTCTTTAGCAGTCCTATTCAAAAAGAGCAAAAATCCCCCCCAAATGATTTAAAAATCACTGAAAAATAAGCTAAAACAGAAAATATATATCAAAACGTTAATGGTACTTGCAGTATTTTTACTTTGCCACATGATCTTTATTTTTTTCATTTACGAAACGGCTCATGAAGACACAGCCAGCTTCTTGCATCCTGCATTGAACTTCTTTCCTTGTGCAGCTTGCAGGAAGGTAGACAAGGCAGGGGGAGAATACAAACTGCAGTATGCTTTATCTATAAAGTCATTAGAAGATTTTGGTCTCCAGAGCCTGACTTCAGAGGCCCATAGATCAACTGTGTGCAGCAGTCCTCCCTTGTTCCTCTGATCCTACTGATCACATCAGATCAGCATGCTGGAGTGTTTTTGCCTGGCTCGCTGGGTGGGTGGGTGGCTTGGTGGGCAGACTTCCCACGTGTCTCCAGTGATGCCATGGCACTTGATCAATCACCCAAGGCAACTCATCAGGGGCCCATCGGAGAGGAGAGGAGGGACGAAAAAGTAAGGAGAGAGGGTGTCTCGTTTGCATGCAGGATGGCAGGCAATGCATCAAAAGATGACAGCGATCCCATTCTTCCTTAAATAAGAGTGGTGAGACTGTGGCTGGCTGTGCCTTAACTTTAATCATTCATCTAAATAACTGTTCCAGAAGTCTGCGACTGGAGGGGGCCTGCAGCGCCAGGCAGGCTGCCATAGGCGTGGGGGAGTATGAAAACTGACATTGCGCTCTTGGATTTCTCATTTGTAAATGTGTAAACATATATTTGAGTCAGACTGCAAAAGCACAAAAGCGCTTGTACTCATCACCCACAGTCCTCCCCCTCGTCTTCCCGTCTCTTTTTCTCCCTCTTTCTTTCTTTCACTTGTAGATTTATGTATTGAAAGGGTTTCAATTCATTGAGGTTAGACTAAGCTGAAAAAAAAAAGAAAAAGGTTCCAAAGAAGGTGCGAGGTTCTCGGGTTCTGGCAGCCTGAGCGACGTGTTGAGCAGCTAAGTGACAGTGATTGATGCCCTCTGTGTTTCGCAACTTATCAAGCGCATATACACACTCACTTGTCAGGCAGATAAACAGCAGTAACATTTGAGACAAATAAAGAAAAAATAAACACGAGGGACTTGTAAAAAAAATATATAAACGGAGAAAAAACTATCTGCATAATGAATAGATGAGATGGAAAGAAGGAGGGAGAGGAGAGGCACACATTCCCAGCGGGTGAAACGGAGCCTGGGAGACGTCGGTTGGGGAGGGATGCAGGGACACATGGGCCTGTGACGACTCCGACAAGTCACCCAGGCGGCAAAATAAAGCCTGGCTTCCTCAGATTTGTTTCCAGTGCTCATCAGTATGAGAGCTGGATGACGGATGGACTGGCGCTGGGCTCAACGCGAGCGTGTCAAAGTTACTCACCATAATAAAGACCTGCTCGTTTTCTTTCCATTCGCTTCCTCTTTTTACACAGCCACCTGCGCTCCCTCTGCCTAAAACCCATTTCATTTCATTTCAATCTGCCTTTGTTTGTCTCCCCCCAACCCTCTTTTCTACATCCTTCTTTCTTCCAAACTGATTCATCTTCCAACCCTCCTTTTCCCTCCTTTTTCTCTTAATTTCACTTACTTCTACTTCAGGGAGAGCAGCAGCAAAGCTGCCCAACTGCAAACCACCTGGTCTCTATCCCTTCATCCATCCAACAACCGTTAAGACATGCAACAATCCATTTCACGCAGTAGTTTTATCTGGGGTGGAGGTGGGTTATAAAGTGGTCTGTGAAGCAGCTCGACTAGAACCCCATTTTGATGTTTCTCGATCTGCTGAGTAACAGGCTGAACTCTCAGCTTTACGACATGGCCTGCCTGAACTTACACTAGACTAAATTAAAGACCTTATACTCAGACTGTATATGAGACTCAATTGGCTTGACTTTCCAGCATGGTCTGAAAAGTTTGCCAACGTGTCGTTAGCGATATGGCACATTTTAGCAATATGGGCTTAAAAAAGATAGATGGATAGATGGATGGATGGATGGATGGATGGATGGATGCTTTATTAATCCCATTCGGGAAATTCAGGGGTCGCGCCACTCACAGACTCATACACAGTACACTAACAAAGACAATTACAACAAACAAACAACAACAAATGCACCTCTGCAGACCAGCCAAGTAGAGTAAAATCAGTTAAAACCAGTATAAAAAGTGCAATAAATGCAGTAGTGCTAGCAGTGTCATATAGTGCTGAGGTGCACAGGTCCTCGACTCAGGTTTTGTTAAATCAAATCTCAGGTGTCATTTACAAAAAATGGATTTGTAATTTTATTAATTTTCCTTTTTCTCCTAAAAATAAAACTACAAATAACAAAGATATGACTCTGCACATAGAGGTTAAGTCGAGGTCTGACACTCCAAAACCAAAATAGTTCCAAACAACTTCCAAACTCTTCACTTATGCTCTAGCAGCCATGTTGATAATAAATGTGTTTGTCCGAGCAGAAAGTGAAGAAAGTAGAGACTACAGGGCACAAATGACAAAATCTAGATTTTTATCTTAGTAAATCTTAAAATCAACAAATGTCAGTTAATCAATTTAATCGACTTCTTGCACAGCCCTATGTGCCATGAGCTGGGAACCTTTCTGAACACCCTAAGTCCATTGTCTTAAATGAATATCCTGGGCGTAAAATTAATTTAGGGTCAAACACACCGTAACACAGAGTTAGACACCCTCTCAAGAGATGAATGTTGCTGACCACTTGCTTCTCTAGTTTTACCAACTTTAGTCACGACCGCACGATAGAAATACACAGCGGTCTGAGGAGCCATAAACAAACCTCAAACGAAACGCCACTCTATAGCCACAAATAATGCTCATAACAGCACCTAACGTCATCAACAGGGTCCCAGCCATAATAATATGTATATGAATATCCCTTTAATTGCGAACAAGCCCTTGACCTCAACTCTTAGCTAACTTTAAGAAATGCAAAATCGACAAACACAAACAAATAAAAGGTCACATCAGTAGAAACCATAACTGCAGCGCCAAAGACCTTCTGCAAACACATTCAACCTGTCTCAACACTTCCCTCACGCTGTTAACTCACACAAACAAGAAGAAGCCAACAAGCTTCTCCCAACTTAGCAGGATTCACCAGGATTACAAAGTCACAGTCTGAGTCAAGCATACAAGCTGTGTAACTCATCCGATGAATCATCTGAAGTGTCATGGATGCTGAACGAGAATCCACTGTTTGTTGGCACAGACCTGGACAGGAGTGTTGCAGCTTTTGTTAGGAGTCCTCGTCTGTCGTTAAACACTCATGTAATGTAGCTTAGCCATTCAACTTACACCAACGTCAATAAAAGGACGCCTGCTGTGAACGATGGCGTCACACAGAGAAGGCAGTCTTGAGAGAAACTACCAGCTGGCCACACTGGAAGCTTTGAAACGCTGGCTCTCACAGGCTTTATTTTAAGATAATGTTCAAACGGCTTCAAGATTAAATGTTTAGATGCATGGAGTGATAGTGTCTGCACAGTAAAGGAAGTCCCTGTAGTTTAACAGTAAGAGTACTTGCTACAGCAGTTTATCAGCAAAACTTACAAAAGAGGATTAGGGCCACAAGAAAAAGAAAAAAACAATAACAGGAGGGAAGTTTTTTTAATTTCCATTTCGAGATTAAAGTCAAAATTTTGAGATTAAAAAAGTTGTAATGAAGTAATTACTTACAAAAATAAAGTCATACTAAAAAAATTACTTACGAGAATAAAGTTCTTATATTCTAACCTTTAAGATGACAGTTGTTAAAATTAGAGCCATGAAGCATTTGTACTTCAATATAGGTTTTTTTAAACAGGGAGATACTTAATCTTATGGCACATATCGTTGATTAACGACTTTAATCTCAAAATCTTAACTTTTGCACACCCACATTTTCTTAAAGAGGCCCTAATTCTCCGTCTTAAAAACTTGTATCTGGAAAAATTAATCAAACTTTTGTTCGGATCTCGTAATTCTAATTTTTTAAAACATTTTGCGGCTTTTCTTTTATTACTTCTTTTTACTCCAGTTTTCACTCTTCATCAACATTTTCTTCTTACAGAACTACACGTATCGCAGTACTCTCGTCTAAAAACTCGAGTCATAATTTTCAGGACCTTCAGGACACACAAGAGCTTTGACGGCTTTGGGACTCGCAGTTAAGCGCAACTTGTGTCCACCTTCACGTGCTGTCTTCTTCAGCAACAGTTCCTGACCTGATGCTTAAAGAGATGCAATAAATTAGTGCTTTACTTAAAGGGATTTTTGGAGACTTACAACCAAGAACAACATTCAGCAAGAACCATCAAGAAGAGGACAGAGTCGAGGTCAAACTTTAACACACATCTGTCCAAAATGCTGAAGTTGCAAAGGCTGTTTATGACTGTTAATATGCTGACGGTTACCATAGCAACTAAAGTGACTCAACTACTGAACAGTATTTTTAATTAATAATCTAATTAACATATGGCCACATCTTGGACATTTCCCAATTTACCAGAATTCTTCTACATGTAGATTAACACTTTTAAATTAATATAACACAACTTTACTTTGAGTCACAGGACCCTCAAGACTCCATAGCAGACTCAATAAGCTCAATTATTATTATTTTTCAGGTGTAGAAACTTCCAAACTAGGTATCTGATGGACCAGGTTGTTGATCCCCATCCCTGTTTAGAGCTCAGACTTGATACAGAGCTGAATTCTGGGTAATCTCTCATCAACCCTCTGTATCCTCCCTCTGCTCAGCCCTCCGTATCAAAGCCCCAATATTGTGACTCTCCCGACACTATGACCTTAATTCCCCTCAATCCTACGTCTTTATCTACCTTTACACTGTCCTTTTCTCCCCATGCATGAACTCACCCCCTCCAGTGTCCTCCCACTCCTCAGTTTGGAAGTCACATGACTTTCGGGTTGTAGTAAGTTGATTAAACAAAGATGAAAAGACTCAGCATTTCCATGTCTGCCCTTTCCCCGCTGTGATGAATGCTCTTTCTATCCCTGCGTTTGAGGCCTAAGTGGAGGTGGGGCTGACTGGGGGCTGAGAAGGGGCTTCGCGGGGCCAAAGCTCAAAACTGCACGGGGGCGCGAGGCTCTCCAACACGGGGGCAGACTGTCTCAACCGGGTCTGATGGCAGAGTTAATTGGAAGGAAAACAGTGGGTGGTGCCAGTGAATACAACCCCTCAGAGAAGCTGGCAGCAGGGCACAGCGACATTCCCCCTGTGTGCTTCAAGGTTATGCACACACATGGAAACACACACCTGCTACTGAGGCAGAAAGACGAGACTCGAGTCGTATCATTTGCATAGAAAGAACATGATTAGCTCGAGTGTGGCTGAGTATGTAGATAAACAGTAACTAGACTTACATAATATAGGATATAAGACCAGAAGACAATAGAAGCACCTCAGAACAGACACAATATATAGTAAGTTTTCTCCTCTTCTGCCTTCTGGATGCCTTTGCCAAACATATAAATCACTCGGCTTCAAGGACACAGCATCGGGACCCCTAACTGGGATCTTTCACATCCACCATCTGGACACTGAGAAGCAGAGTGCTGACCAGCGGCCCTGCTCTCATTCTGTTCCTCAGGACGAGCCACCAGACGGGGGGATGGTGGGTTTTTACTGCAGAAAGAAACCGAATCAATCCAGAAAAATGCTTAGTTTGGACTGAACTTGACAATAAATCCTCTCTGGAGATGAAGAATGGGTGAATATTGCAAGAATGGTGTGGTAAAAAGGAAAGTGAGAGACAAAGGCTGCGAGTGAGAGGCTGTCAGTGTCTTCACTCATCCAGAACTGTCCGAAAAAATCATTCACACTCTCCCTCCCTCTGTCTCCTCTTTGTGCTATCCTACGTCTTTCCATCACTGGGCTTTGTTTCACACTCCAAGACCCAATATCAACGTGGATTAACAAGAATGAGATACACAGGATTGTCTAAATGTAGGGCTGCACAATATTGGCCAAAAACAAAACTCTGATTTTTTTCTCTGAAAACTTTATTTTTGATTTTTGATTCAATGACAACTTCACCAAACTTAACTTGAATAATAAGTTTTTCTATCATTTCTCAAAACGAAACCACTAAAATGATTAAGTAGAGGAAAAGCACAAAAGACAGAAGAAGAGTACAGAGCATGCATATAAAGGATGTTTTGGCCGGACACGTGAAGGCGCTGTTAAAGAGTGACGCTGTGTCACATAATCGTTTCAAGCGATGCAGATAGACATCCACACGGAGTTGAAATGGTAGTTGTTTACGTATTTAGGCGCTCCTGTACTTTTCCATGTGGATGAAACGCCAATACGACAAAGGTTTTTGTGTTTACTCCTGAATTAGTTTCAGTGTGGACGGGTTGATACCGCCTTCAGACAGAGTTTGCAGCAGGGAGTGGTTTGCTCTTCATCTGAAACTGTGAAGTCGTACCAATTCAACATGATTGACATCGTCATATTCGAATAATCCAATAACAATTTAAAATCAATTAATCATACAGCCCTATCTCAACACACATTATAATGTCCACTAAGGTTCTTCATGTCATCTTATCTATTGCTGTAGTGAGCCTTGTGACTCTCAGGGAAACTGATCCACCTCTGCTGTTTGTGCATCAGATCTAAAACAGGAGCTGAGGATGTTGGTGCTTCTCTCTGGCGCTGGTTTTGTTGTGTCTCACGCTCATGGAAGCTGTTCTTGATAAATGAAACTTTCAGACATTGTTATTTAATCAATAAATAATTCATCCCAAGATACAAATGTCCCTCTGCTTGTACTGAGTATGTTGCTAAAAGTTTCCCACTGTTTCTTTTTCGCCTATCTGCCAAATAGAGCTGGGCGATATGGGAAAAAGTTTATCACAATATATTTTTTCATATCAGTCAATATCGATATATATCACGATATTAAAAATCACTTGTCAATCTTAAATGCTCCCTGTTACTTTTAAATGTAATTTAAATAGACTACTTGGTTCTAATTTGGCACATGATTGGATCAGCGTGGCGCGACCCGGAGCAACTTTTCATTTTTCTAGTCTTTTTTCAAGTCTACCAAAACATGGCAGAATGCCGGCTGCTGAAAAGCATATTGACCATGTTTCATATTGCTACAGAAGGAAATTTAATTTTTGATATTTATCATTATCGTTTTATCGCCCAGCCCTACTGCCAACATAAGCTTTGCCAGATGATATTCTTGTTTAGTAATCGAGGTAGCTCTAATGAAGTGACACAGAAATACTAATAATATTATATCTACTATTATATCACATATCTAACTTGTGTCTGTGCAAAACTACAGAAAGAAGTGGGGTTACCCTCAACCAGTGAGTGACTGTGTGAAACTTTGAGTTGTTTTTACTCCTCACTGCCCAGTTCCTTTTCCACGGTGTATTCAGATCACGGTATACACAAAGGAAAGTAAAATGTCCTGAAACAATAGCAATCACTTTGTTAAAACTGTAGATAATCCTTTCAGTAGATCTCTGGCAGCCAACAAATGATGGTCTCATTGCTTTTTAAGCCAACACCAGTTTTGTGAGACAGCGTGAAAAAATAGTTTCCTCTCAGGTCTCAGAGAGCCTGCAGCAGCAGCAGCAGCAGCAGCAGATTTGTATAAAGTAAAATTGCGGCCCTGCTATGAAAGGCCCGTTTGTAACACTGACCTGCTCTGGCTCTCTCCGCTCATGTTGATTCAACAGCGATAAAAGTCTGTGGGCAGACTGAGACTTGTGACTAATAGTCCAGCAGGATCTGTGGTTCAATTACCGCGTAGGGCAGCTCTCCTCTGTCCCTGGGCTAGACGCTTTACTGGAATAGCTTCAGTAAACACACACACACAAACACAAACACACACACTCGCAGCTTTTATAAATGTGATGTCACTGACCAAAGGATATCAACGCTGATACATTTCTCTCTCTGTTTTTTTTTTCTTAAAGACATGTCCAGAAGAAACGTATTGGAAGATTGGATATTGGCACTATCTAAATGAATGTTTTCAGGCCCTGGGGAGGCTCGAGGCTCGCTGCACCGTCTGGGTCTTTAAAAGAATCAGGGGACAGCTGATGAAAAGCTCGGCTGAAACAGTTTATCCACAATGAGGAGAGAAAACACAGGAAATGAATAGTGACCTGAGAAGTCAATGCTGGCACTTTCACAGAACTCTTTAGACAGTTAGACGCTGCAAATCTCACCGAGTCTCTGCTGGATTCAGAGTTTCTCTCTGCTGGAAAATGGTCTTTTGTAAACTTGAATCTGAGGACTTCTTATGTGCGTCTAAAGCAAAGAAACAAGACACGGTATTTTTCAGTTTGAACAGTGTGCACACAAAGGGCAAAACAGCTCAAATCTAGCGAAACAGCTCGGCCTTGGCAGAACGATAAACAACAGCAACAAAAGCATGATTGGAAAATTTTTAAACTCCAAGACGTCCAACTAGACCTACATGACCAAACTGACACGCGTTCAAATACACACGCGCCAACACGGCGCTGACACGACACAGGTCTGAGGATCTGGCGTGATTCCAGAGCAGATGGGTGGGTTGGGTCGGGGAGTCGGGTGGGCCTGGTGGATGGGGGGGGTACATGGGAGCGTCAATCTGTCATTTCTAACAAGCCAGGAGACTTGGAGACACGGCAGGTCACAGGCACAGGACACACACACACACTCACACCCGCTCCTCGTCCTTTGCCGGCATCACATTCCAACTGTGGCATTCCTGCTAATTAGAACACAAATTAATGATCCGAGTGAGGGGCCGACTCTGCCGCTGCCTTCCCTTACTCAACGTTTAGCCTTCCTTCTGGTCCCATCCTCCTCTTCTGTTTCTTCTTCTTCTTCTTTGTTCTATCCTTTTCTTAAAATCTCTTTTTTGTCTTTGTTCACCCTCTCCTGTGCAATGACAGGTGAGAAAACACTCGACAAGAGGTTCGCAAACAAAACCCGTTTCTAATTTGTCAATGAGAGAAAAGGGGCATTATTCGCCGCTCATGTTTGGTTAGAATCAGACGCAGAATGAATATGGGCTGTGGGTCGTAATCGAGTCACAGCGTCGGAGTGAGCTCCCTGGTTGTGAATTAGTGTATCATCCTGAATGAATGTGGAGGATTTAAAAAAAAAAACTCTTCAGGGTTTAAGTTTTTTCCTCAAACCCTCTTCATATACAAGACTGGCATAAATATTTGGTAATCACACTAAGGCTGCGCGGTATTGGAAAAAACTAACATTGCAATTTTTTTCAACCCTGCGATATATATTACGATATTAAAAAATACAGGAATTTTCACCAGATGACCTGAATAGCATTTAATGTTATGCTGCGCTGCTGAAATCTTGTGGAAAGTTAACCTGCACTGATCTGACCTCTTTTTGTGAATGTTAGTAGAATGGCTTCTGTCTGTCTCAGAGATATTTTCACCTTTTATTGTGCTGGGACGTTATTGTGGTGACAGATAAACACAGAACGTGTGTTTTGGTCGACATCATCCTTCTTTTAACCGAAATAATTCCAGATAACTGACTTTCCTTTTCTTTTTGGCAACAAGTTTTCATTTTCAGTGGTTTTCTCTTGTGCCACATGCCTGCTGAGAATTGCGTGCACCTCACAAAACGCGCAGAGTGGCCCACGGAAATGTACAATTTAAAATCCATACAATTCTCATTTGTGGGGCTAAGCAATGATGAGTTATGTCCTGAAAGTAATCCTCGGAGGGCACGATACATGCTGACCCCTTTAAAAAAGCCAATTTTTTACAGCACAAATTCACATGTTTGCTGCCTTGTTTTCCATGTTTAGGAGTGTGGTTAACTTTATTGAAGGGTGGGCGTACTTAAGCTGCTGGTGAGATAATATTATCATTATAAGTTATTTATGATGCATTAAAGTGAGGAGGCTAAAGGCTCAGTTTACCTCCACCTCTCTCTAGACCAGGGGTGGGCAATCATGTGCCATGGAGGGCCGAGAGGCTGCAGGTTTTCTTTCCAACCCAAAACTCCACCAGGTGATTTCACTGATTACCTCTAAGCAGAGAGCAAGGACTAATCAGTGAACTCACCTGGTGGAGTTTCAGGTTGGAAAGAAAACCTGCAGCCTCTCGGCCCTCCATGGCACATGATTGCCCACCCCTGCTCTAGACTGATCGGAATTTGTGTCGAGTCAGCATTTCTTCCATGGCGACGGCCAATAGCAGGCTTCATATTCATGTTCTATACAACCAATGATTCGAACCCTCATATAAAGCCCTGAATGTAAGACAAGGTGAACAAGACTTTAGTTGACTCACCTATAAAGCTCCTATGAGGAACTTTCAGTCTACACCAACTTTGGCGCCTTCATGGACTAGTCTTTCTTGTCTTCTACTTGCTTAATTAATGTCTTTTGACAAAATATCTCACCCTGCTGACTTTTGACAGTCAAATGTATATTTAAGTGTGGATGTTCTGCTTGGAAACTGCTCAGCTGACACCTACCCCCTCACACAGGCTTACAGCATCAAAAATGACAGTATAAACATCGTCAATTTTGTCACCAATTGTTTTTCTTGCTTTTTGATATCATAAAAAGGCATCAACATGAACATCAGCCTATAAAAAACCTCACAGGAGCTTTAAACATAAGAAATTTAGCTCAAAGTCATAATGCAGCCATGTGAATAAGACCAAAATTAAAACTAACTAGGTGAATCAATCCTAAGCCGATGCCTTTGAAAGTCCCGCAGTCTTTCACTTTCTAGTCACATTAGTGTAGAATTATCAGAGCATAACTTGAAACCGCTCTGAAAAATGGAGTGTGTAACTCGCAGGACAAGAGCTTGTAGTTCCCCCCCCTCTGTGCGCTCTGCTGAATAAATTGCTTGTTCTGCGATTGTATCTGTTATTCTTTCAGCAAACCTCGGTGATAAATTCTGGGGCAAAGTCACAGAAACCACAACAACACAACAAACTCAATCTGGCAGTGCTCCTCAGCGGCCCGGGACACCTTGCCCACAATGCATCAGTGCAGAGCTGACCTTGAGTGCTAGGCATCGAGGTTAGGAAGCATCATTAGTCGTGCTCCCTCCACTGCAGCGCTAAGAATAGGAACATGGACATGATCACTCACTCATCTTCATACATCTTTCTTCTCCACCTCTTTTATCAGTTTTGGTCAGGTTAGACTAACATACTTTAAATGAATTACACGTGTTCTTAAGAGTTTAGTTCAGCGATAGTGGGTGTGGATTCTTATCAATAATAAGTGTATACAGTAGATAGCATTTGGCATGTCCCCTTTTGAAAGGCTCAATGAAGTTTATATACAAAAGCTGAGACGTGTATATGTACTGCTAATGGAGCCAAAATGAAACAGCACTTCAGACACTTTCAAACAATCCTACTGGTATTTTTTAATGGTTTCAAAGGAAGTATTCACAAAATTTTCTCACCAGTTTTTTTGCGCATACAAATTAATGGTGGAGTAGGCAGGAATCCGTTAAAGAAGCATCTTTTGTTGTGGTGTATATACAAAAAAGCTTTTAATATCAGTCAGTAGCTGTAAGTTACTGATGACATTTGGAAATATAACAATATCTGTGTTCTGTTATGTCGGTTTAGTCAACATTTACAATTTTTTGAGCGGCCCGCTCTTTCTGGCTGTAAACAAAGCCATTCCCCGCCTCCCCAACCTGATTGGTTGTGAGGCAGACACTGCTCCCCCGAGTTGTTCACAAGCCCAAACAAAGTTAGTGTGCTACAATATCGGACAGTAGAAACCAACCAGAAAGTTCTGAAAATTGTCTGAATCCTCCTTTGGCCACGAATGCCAACACAAGCAAGAAAATGAAGTAAATACTGGAGACTCTGGCGGAGTAACGGGTTGGGAGGGGTAATGTTTACATTCAAGATTTCTCCCCAAAATGGGCTGTCGGCTCTGTACATCGAACAGAACATTACAGAACATTATCACGCTTCTGAATCTCCTAACCCTAACCCGACAGATGATGATGACGTTTTACAGCCATAAGGAATAACAAATAGGAGCCCAGCACTTCTAGCCAATCAGAGGAGAAGGAGGCTGGACCCTCCCCTACCAACATACAAAAAAAAATGTTCGCGACCTGGTATTGCATGTTTGAATACAGAGCCAACAAGGGGTTAAATACCACAATGGCAAGTCCAGATTAGACTTAAGTTTGGAAATTAAGATGGTAGTTGCAAAGTCGTCAGCTCACTGTCAAGGGGCCCTCGAGCAAGGCACCTAATTCCCTTGACTGACCGTACTGCTGCTCTGTCGGCACACTTTGACCTTTTGTCCTCAGTTAGTGCATGTCTGAAGGATCTTGTTAACTTCAACTGCTTTGCCCACAACCCAACCCCAGATAAGAGGAAGCAAATGGTTAAATGGATGGTTATTCAAAAGTGGAGTTGGGATTTGAACTGAAACGATTATTTTCAATTAACAAGCAAAGAAAAAAAAAAAAAAAAAAACAAAAAACTAAAGTCTGTGGTAATGAGGCCCCATCCAACTGTCCCTAATTCCCCCTTTAAGGGCGCTTTTTTAAGAGCATGGTGGTCCATTCTGAATCAGTTCTTGAGCCATCTTCACAAAATAATAATGCTGATCATTGACTAATAACTAAAGATAAGACCTTCACCTTCTTAAAAAGCGTGTACTATTCCTTTAATTGCAAGAAAATAAGATCCAAAACAGCTCCTTATTTCATCCAAACAAACTTGAACACTTTCCACAAAGCGAAGTCGCCAAGAAACATCTGTTATACTTCTCTGTTTCCTCTTTAGACTTTAAATCAACTGCAATACTTTCCAAACGTTTCCTTTTTTGTCTTTCTCTCCGAGGATCTTCTCTCCTGGATGACACTGCATTTTTTCTAACATTTTTTAGTCATATTGTTACACGCACCACACACCAATAGCTCTTGTCTGATTGTCTCTATATCCCAGGTCTCGTTACGAAAGCGTCCCAGAGGTAGTTTGTCAGCGACTGAAGTGCAGTTGCTTTGATTTTTTTGGAATAAATAAATGCACCGTGTTCGTTTGAGTCAAGTATGCTGGAAAATAACACCTTACTTGGCGGGGGAAAAAACATATTTTTTAAAAAATGCACACAAATCACCTGCTGGTATCAGCCCACACCTTCCATCTCTGTCTCCTTCTCGTCAGTCCCAGTTGGGGCTCTGGCTCACAATCAATAGCTTTCACTGCTAAGCCAATGTGCAATAATAAAGGCATTACAGACAGGGAAAAATAACACCAAATCTTATTAAATATGAGCGATGGTTTCTTCCCCTACATGTCTCCCTGTCTCTTGTTGCCAAGGTGAGCAGGGAGCCGCTCCGTTGGACAGATCTCAGCGATTGGTTAGATCCCTAAATGTTGGGGACCGATCAGCGGGCTCAGGATCTGGGCCCGGATTGTGAGTTACAGGTAGAGTTTGGAGCTTAGCATTCAGTTCGACTCCCCCGGCAGCCATGTATATTTCACGGGATTGTCTTTTATATTCAGTCTGTGGCTCAGTGGAGCACTCATCTTTATTTCATTTTGTGGCATTTTTTAATTTTGGCTGAGATTTTTTTTTTTTACGCCCTCCTTCTCTTTCTGCACTCCCTCCATCCTTCCTGACATCCCCCTCTGCCGACTGAATCAGTAATGACATTATGCATCTTTCACCGTGGAGCTTTCAGGACAGAAAACAGAAACTTCTAGCCATACAGCAGCACCCACTGTGGAAAAATAGTTATTCTGTCCACCCTACTATACAGTGTATTGTATTTTGAACACCTTTTACTTTTATTTTTCAATGTCTGATTGTTTTTAACCAAAGTCATCATCCCTTGAACCACAATTCCCTCAAATTTATAGACAGCGTTTACATTTCGAAGCTCAAAAATGCACTTTTTGGTAAATGTAAAGAAAATATGATGTTTCATTTTGGCTCAATTCACCCTAATCCTCCCCCAAAAGGTATTTTCTGTATCCTCCCGGCACCTTAATAGGATTAAGACATGCAAAACATTTGCTGTAATATGCTCAGGTTTTCAGATATCTGCAGCTGAGGTGTCACTCACCTTTACAGCTTAATGGATTTTTTTATGTGCCAGAAGCATAAAGTAATAATGTCTTTTTAGATCTAAATGTTCCTGTTTCTGTTTCTTTGAAGAGAAAAACAGTCCTGGATGTTTCTTCTCTAGTGACCTGGGTCTATAATTTTGTCTTTTGGGTATTGTGGGTGTGCAAAGGGGAGGGGAAAATAGAAAGACGCATTTATATAAAGTGAATATCAGTGGAGTATATTTCATAGAAACTACCTTCTAAAGCCAGCCTTACTTAGATATGGTGCTACTGGGAAATCTTTAAAGTTTTTATGGATAATGATGCTCCAGGTTTTTAGCAGACTGCACTCTGAGTGTAAACTGGTGGGTAAAATGCACGTGTGAAGTTCTGGGTACACTACTTCGGGGAAATCTAACATTAAAGTTACAAGACTGTGATGGGAAATGGATTTCCTTGTCTAGTTCCATCAAGTGTCATCCAGCTGTTTTAACGTCTCACCTCAAACAGAAATCATAAACCCTCTGGTGTTTTTTCCAGCAGCTTCAGGATAACAGCGGAGCGTTTCTGACAAAATCATCACATTTGACTCTGACATTACAGCTTATTTATTAGGGGTGGAAGGAAAGATCGGGAACTTTTGTTTTACAATTTTTAAATTGATTTGTATGTTCAAAATTCGATTTTTTTGTTTTCAAATTTAAGAATAAATCTTAAAAATTGACTTACATGTGATGTGTATTTTTGGGGGAAATATGGTTCCTGGAAGAGTCAGTAGACAATCATAATCATTCAACTGTTTCACTGGTGTTAAAAATGCAGACTAACAATCGACAATATCGTAAAATCGCAGTTTAAGTCAAATCGGCATCCAAAAGATCTTAGAAGAATCAAATCGGGAGAAAAGCACATCGTCCCAGCCTATTGTTTATGGTCTTTGTGGAGCTGTTCACGAGACCAGGGGTTCCTAAATAGGAGGACAAGAAATGATGACCGCACAGTGATCAGACAGATTAAGGACAGTGTCATTTGCCAGTCTCAGGTCATGTCGATGATGTACATTTATGCGCTTTTCTACTTTGCTAACTTAACCGCTCAAAACAAAACACTTGAAAAAACAAAAATGAAACATTATGTCTAAGTTATTATTGTTGTTATTGGTAAAAAAAATAGTAATAATGACATTATCAATAACAACAGTAAAAAAATAGTAGTTTCATCTTATTTAGATATCCTTAAATACTCCTTTACTGCCCCACAGTGGAGAAATTTACCTCGCTAAAGCAGAAAATGGACAGTTTAAATAAAATCAAATGAAAGAATAACTTAACAAAAGTTGCAGCCACTTTAGTTTTGTTCTTAGTGTGTGCATCCTGTGTGATCAGTTTCTCATGTTACAGTCATTTCCAGTTGAGCGGGGTCCTGAGCTGAAAAATTTGGGAACAACTGCACTAGAAGACAGGACCACCACAGATTGTTGGTGATTAAAAATAAACTGAATTGAAGTTTTTAAGAACCACGCACAGTAAATTTATCACTGAAAAGAAGCCAAAGCTGAGAGTATCATCCTGATTCAGCTCGGTGGAAATTTCTCCAAAAATAAAATCAAGACATGAGGGACTTTTTTTTCCACGGTGACCTGTGAGGCTGTTGAATGACCTCGACCGTTTTTTTCATGAAGCTAAAGTGGATAAATCTGGGAGTGATCCAACTACTTTAAAATACAGAGTTTGGTTCTGGGCTCTGAACTAACCTTCATCTCAGCACACTGAAAAGAAGAAGACCAAGTGAGAGCAATGTGAAACTCCTTAGTAACCGTCAATAACAGCAGAGTTAAAGCTTCACTGCTGGTCTTGAAAAAGTGTCATCATGTTTGTAGAGATCTTACTCATGAGTCAAGCAGAAGCCTCCTGGAATATTTTATTCATTTAGCTGTTTATAATGAATCTGTTTGAACACTGTGGGGTAAAAGGAGCAGATTTCTACTGTTTCATTCCTGAAAATCTCCTTCATGGAGCACGTAGAGTGAGCACAGTAAACTGAGGGGAGAAAAAGCAGGGGACTAAATCTGAATTGATGACAAACCGAAGTGACAAAACTGTCTGCTAAGCCAGCCACTGCATAACATTAGTGAACCCACTCGTGATGATGACGAGCTAATTTTATCTCCACTCAACAGCACTACAAATGTATTCTCCCAGTGTCTCCTTTCAGCTTCTGGGAGGAGTTTTTGGTTGGTAATGGTGCAGACTAAAACTATAACTGATGACTCTCAATAATGTGTAAAAGAACCATCAGAGGAAAGATTTGTCCTTTTTTGAAGTCTTATTTGATGACTGTCGAACAAGGCGGTTATCAAAATGCTGCCAAAACAGCCTTAACCACATGTGTGTATGATGTTTATTCTTTTGCACAGACTGGAAAACAGTTGAATGCATCTGGACTAACAGTGCCTTATGCGCAAATTTCAGGATTTCAAAATTGGTGATTTATTCGTATGTTTCTAAAGGCCCGTAATATTTCACTGAGAACCAAACATAGACTGTATATAGAATGAACGCCGTCTAACTTCTCGCTGGGTGGAGCCACCATGAGAACAGCACCCTCTGGTGACGGGCTGCAGTATAGGTCATAAATCCCGCCCCCGCCAGCAAAGCTTATGAGGCTGTTGACAAACTTTGGAAATTAATTACACGTTTTAAATTTTTCTCCCCCCTGGTTGCGATGTTGACATGTAGTTATTGTAAGACTGGTTTGTGTTCAAGTCCTCTGTTTTCTGTGCAGCTCCATTTTTAAAAGTTATTAGGGGTTCATGTTTTCTATGATTGACATCTGATGCAGCCTATGGGCGTATGAAGATTACGTAGCTCAGTTGGGGGATACGATGTTTGAGCTGAGCGTCATCACAGTGACTCTCCTGCCAAATGCATACAATGCTACTGCGCAATTGGTGGTATCGATCAAAAAACTTCAAAATAAAACCAAACAATCTGTTAATTTGGGTAAGACGACTAGACAAAGGTAGAGCAACATATTACTTCATAAAAGCAATTAACCTGCATGTCATCATCCATTTCTAATAACATTCAAATTAAAGATTTATCTCAGGGGAAAACCCTTCCCCATGCTTTTATTGTGACACCTTTAAATCTTGGGTTTCAGCTGTTTCATTTCCTGTTTGCTGATTTTACAGAACTGAATAAAAACAGTATGGAGAAAAGTCAGAAAGTGTAAATGTTCAGTTGAATATCAGCCCAAAAAAGCACAAGCTCTAACTCTTTTTTTGGATTCACAATATCAATATTTTATGTTTTAATAAAAGCGGTTATTTTCAATACCGGTATATCCCAACAGTCCTATTCTGGTGTGTCTAATTTCTGAGTTGTTGAAAACTCAGATAGACTGAGTTGAAAGTGAGAGAAACCTCACAGATCAGTGGAAGATGAAAACACGAGCCCACGGGTAAACACTACTGAGCGGAGCAGAACTCCCACCACCAGCCTTCAGTCCTAAAGGCAGGTTATTGTTCACGCTTGTATCACCCATCACTTTACAACTTTATCTCCATTTTCAGGTTCAAAACTCAGCCAAATTGTGTCATCTGTGCTTGTTTACATCCAGATGGTAGAGGATATAATGCTAGGTAACATCCTGAGTTAAGATAGTGCCAGTCAAATCAGTCTCCCGTTAGTTTGATGGCAGCGACAGGAAAATAAAACTCCAGCGACTCGTCCACAACAAATTCCAAACTGCACATACATGTAAGAAACATCTGGGTCTTTAGGGATTGACATCTCTTTATCGAGCATGACATTCTTAGCTGATCTGCAAAACAAGTATTGAATTATTTGACGACAGATTGTAATCTCCTTTACAACAATAAAAACGAGGACACGTTGAGGTTTGATATCTCAATGAAGAACAAGAATGAAATCATTAACCACACCATTTGGCAGCAGAATCCAATCTTTGCTACATCTCATGTGGTAAATGAAAACGGGAGGGTGTGTTGATATCTCAACAAAGAACATTTGTTATCGCAGATGAAAATCAATCCTTACCAGAATAGAAATCATTGTGGAGGGAAATGTGCACAAAGAAGCGAACAGAGGTGTTTGGGCTGCTACGACGGGCACAAACAGCCGGATTTACCACTGTTCAAAAATACAATATTTAAGCCTTTTTAATCCTTATCCTGCAAAAAAAATATTAACAAATGCAGCAGGTGATAGAGAAATGAAAAAGACGGTGAAACGTCTATTACAGAATTGATATGAGTGGCACAGGGAGGCTTGTTGGAGCTCTGACCTCGTGGATTAAACACCTGATAAAATCACAGAAAACATCTATCAGCTACATTCATTTACAAATCTCATTTTAATCTCTCTTCAGTTGTCTCCAATCCCCCAATAACGCACGTGCAGTTAAATACAAATTGCTTTGTCTGATGAGGTTTTGAGATAAACCTTGAGGCGGACGATCATACAGGAGCAAAATTTGTGGACACATCATATTTTTAATATTACTCTAAGGTTAAGTCTTCAAATGACTCTCAAGAATGATGTCAGGATTGTAAACTGTGTCGTAAATCGTGGGTGCGAGTTGCTTTTGAAGTCATGGTTTACTCGCTCAAGGTCTGCACAGGCGGGCTTTGATACCGGGCTACGTATACACTGGTATGTTTTTATTTTTTTAACACTTCTATTTTACAAGGCAACAAGGTAGTCAATCTCTCCAAGAGATCTTTTTTAATCTCTTTCTTTCTGTCCTTGTGGTTGCATGTGTTTGATTTATGTGGCTCAGCAGGCCATCAGGACACGATGCTGGCCTCTGAGTACACCGCTGTCTGATGTAGCAAGACATGAGCTCACACTGGGCTCCTTATCTCAACTACAAGAAAACATCTAACCTCACACTGACAGAGAAAAAATATGGAGGAAATGAACACCTAGAAAACAAGAAGAGTCGGGATACCGCTGAAGATAACAAAGCAGAGGAGGGGAGCACTAAAAAAGATGCAAGCAGCTTCCTAAACCTGCACTGCTGGTTCTTCCTTCTCTCAATATTTACCCGAACTAAGTGCCACATTTCACAGTCAAAAGTCTGCAGGATGAGGGATGAGATTTTATTTCAGGGAACGCAACTTAAACATGTAGAGGACAAGATAAGCAGAAACTTCTTTGTGCACTCGGGGAGCCAAAATTGACAGAAACCTGAAAGTTCCTCAAGAGCTTTGACACAGTCGACGCTAATTTGAAGAGCGTGAACCAGAATTCAGTGTTTAATAGTTGCCACCTTGATGTAGCATGTAAGTGCGCTTTAACTCTAACAACACAAGAGCAGGTACAGTGCTTTTTAACTTTGAAACTGATGTGCTGACGTTTGAAAACATTGTAAGGTGTTGGTTGCTTGTTTAGCTTCCTGATCTAAGATATACCTGCACGCTAACAGAGAGCTAGCGTGAAGGCTATCGTTGTTTGCCGGGAATGGTTGGTTCAGTGGTTGAGCAATAGGGTGACCGTACATGTCCTCTTTTTTGGGGGCTGTCCGGCCTTGTCCGGGGGAGTTTATAAAATCCCTCAAATGTCCGAGGTTTTGTATGGAAGTTTGAAGTTTGTGTAGCGTGGACTAGCATGGAGTTAGAAGACTCCGGGACTCTGTAGTGTCCTCTTTTTGAGGATTCTGAATATGGTCACTCTATTGACCCCCAATTTCCATCGCATCTGGAACAACTACGAAAAGACCATATCCACCGATCATAGCTGATTCAAGTTAATCTGTCATTTTCCACCTGCTTCTTTCTGTTCCCTTGGGATCACCGGACTCCACACCTGATCGCAAGTGTTGTATTTTTTCCGAATGCCAGAGACGGATAAATTCAGCACAGATTAACCCGTGCTGGAAAGAAAGTCAGGCACAGACACAAAATAAAACATCTGGCCTCTTTTCAAGATAAAACACTCTGTGTTTCAGGCGGATCATTTACACCATGCAAACGGGCGGGGATGAACAAGTGAAAGGTTTATAGACAGCATTTCATTCCGATGACACCATGGATGAGAGGATGCTGATTTTAGAAGTCCAGATGTAGATCTCCTCCTCTAGAAGGACACAATCTAATGCTTATATGGTTAGCCTCTGTGGCTAAAGACAACTTGTCATCGCATGATTGCACGTGAATCTGCAGGTTCTTGTGAGTTCTCACGATTCCTGCTGTGCACAATTGGCCACGAAATGCGCCTCACAAACAGATCCGGTGGCGTACGGCGAAAATCGCCGCTGTTCCAGATCAGAGCTGTTCTGGATGTGGTGGAAATCCCAAGTGAGTCAGTATATATGCAGTCTTATTATCTGCTGTTGAAAGTCGCCGCATGAGGTCACTGCACAGCTGTATAATTTACTACATTATATTGGACATCTGTTTAAATCGACTTTCCCATATTTTAAGTGTCTCTGAAAAATCAGGAACATTTTTGCTTGTTGGAAATATGACAGCAAAGAAAAACGTTCAAAATCTCTGTAAACAGAGTAACAGCTGTGTCTCAGCTGCAAACAGACACACTGTAATGAAGGCAAAAAATATCTAATATAACACTTCTAATGAATTTTAAAGTAAATCTGTCTCCTGGAGTAGGATTTTAAATCCAGAAATCACTAAAATTGGGTCAGACAGCTTGTTTCCAAAAGAGAATGACAGCAATGAAGTCTTTTACAGTCCTGTTGAGTGTACAGGATGAGTCAAATGGATCACAGCGTCTGCAAATTAACTTAAGCCATTGAAGCGATCAGTCTACTCATCCTTAAACTGGAGTTAGTTGAACTTCACGCTCTTACTCATGCAACTTATTTCCTTACAGCCACTGACAGTGACAGTTTAAGGTAACACTGCTGCCACCTTCTCTACCTAGAGCCATGAGGAGAGTTTGTTTTGCATGCCCTTGTTTGTTTCTCTCTTTGTTTACTTTACATTACATCGTTCACCGTATCAGGTGAACATATAAACACTCGCCTCCCTGCAGATATCCACCCTCTTGCTGTGAAACATATGTCATTTTCTCCGTCTGTCTCTTTGTCTGTCACTTCCAGGTCCTCATACTCTGTCTGGCGTTTTCTCTCGATGCCACATTATGTCTCTGTCACTGGCTGGTCATGTCGCTACATGCAGGTCGGGGTCTGGTCCAAGAGTTTGCCGAGGGGAGGGTGACATCTGGTGAGCAAAGTGAACTCAGGCTTCAGGAAACTGGTTTCCATCTGTGCTGCTCTGACCACATACTGACACACACAGAAAGGTCTTTCTGATTTTGGGTATGAGCGTGTGCGATCCAGCTGTGAGTGACAAGGACTGTAGTTCCAATTATCCGTACCAAGGCTGGGGACTGAATGCGAATAAGAACCTCGTGTTTCATTCAGAGGGTTTTTAGTTAAAAGTGTTGAAATATTTGCAGTTTTTTTCTGTTCTTTAAAGCTTTGAAGGAAGAAGGAGTTTTACAAAGTAGCTCCGATATAATTTATTCAGTATTTCCTGAAACTGTTTCATATATCTTAATCAAAAAGTAAAGACAGTTTTGATCATATCTGAAATCTCTTTTTCAAAACAACACATTTTTGCATTTACAATTCATAACATCTAAATCACGCTCTGCTACCATTTGTAGAGTTGCAGCTGCTTAGATAGTTTCCATTTGGCAAAAGTTACAGCTTACATTTTGCACCTAGCACTGAGTAGGTGAGAAGTCCTCTGCAAAACACTGGTTGTCGTGGATACAGACTGTGTAAACATGGATGTAGTCTGAGTGACATCACCCTTTTTGTTAGAGTTTTCAGCAGTAGCCATGTTGAAAATACTGAGTAAAACTTATATTTAATCAGTCTACTAAGAGGAAAAGAGGTGGAGTTGAGGTGGACCTTCAGCCTTCCAGCCACAGTGAGCTCAGCTATCAGTCAAGTCAGCTGTGTCTGTGATGCTTTATGTCTTTAAAATGAAAAGTAAAGTGTATAAAGTGTATGTGAATAAAGACATGGGCCACACAAACAGACATTATTTTTAATCCTGCTGTAAACATTTGTGTTTTTACTGTTAATGTCAGCTTTCCAAAACGGGTGTGTATGTGGTAGAGCTGTGTAATAATCGATTAAATTGATTAATATGCGTCTGTAAATATGTTAAAATTAACAAAAATAGAAGTTTCATTTTTTACGGATAAACTTTTTATAATATGGTAAATTGAGTTTGTTAAAAAAAAAAAAAAACAAAACACTGATTTTATTTTTACCTGTTTTACTCAGCTCTACCCCTAGTGGGCATTTAGGAAACTGCAGATTTTAGAACTTCTTCTTTGTCTTCGGTTCTCATATTGACTCATCAGCTTGAGACAGAATAACTGGAGTCTGAATAACTTGAAGAACAAGAAGTGGCAGAAGGTTTTTCTGACTGGTGTGCAGTAACAAGTTCTCTGCAGCAGACTGATTCTCTGCACAAACAGAGATATTCTGATCTGCACATAATTGATGTTCAAATGGAGCACAAGGTGGTGTGAGCTCCTCCTTAAATCTAATGAGCCAGACTGATGTTCAAATCACCTGTCTTGGACGTGTTGCAAGAAACTGCTACAACTTTTAGAGCAAATTTTCTCCTGACATTGTAGAAAAATACATCAAATCATTATTTCATGAAACAGATGTGAAGGATGGCAATCAGACCTTCAAAAATTGGTACTGAAAAGTTGCCAAAAACCCTGTTAATGACAGATGGTGGATGGTGTGCATTAGGTTGCTTTTAATTTTTGGACTTGGAAAAAACATCTTTTTAAGTTGATGAAGAATAAACTTTAGAAGATTTCTTTCCCTCTCTACCTTTGAATTTATTTTAGGGTCTTTTTTAAATGGGGAGAATTAAGTTACTCTTTCAAATAAGCGATTCGCAAGAATATAACATCTGAGTGATACTTAATTTTTGCAATTAAAGCAGATGCAAGTGGAGATATGTCGTGCCACCCCTGCATGAGTTGAAAAACCTGCACAAGCCGCTGTTATATGAGCACAGTATTAGAGTAACAGAAATGCGTTGTTATAATTTACCTTTTTGTTGCTGTAAGTCAATTAAAGACAGTTGACTGAAGTTATTTTTATCTGGTAGCTTTTTTAGCAGCAACAGGAGAACAGTACTTTTTGAAAACGGGTCAGGGGTGAATAAATCCGTAAACGACGACCATTTCATCTCCGTGTGGATGTCTATCTGCATCTCTAGAAACGATCATGTGACACACAGCGTATCTCTTTGGCAGCTGCGCGTGTCCAAAACAGCCTTAATTTACACATGCTCCGTACTCTTCTTCTGTCTTTTGTTCATTTCTTGTGCAGCGTCACAGCGCCACTTACTGGCTTGGCATATGCACCACATTGTTTTCAGCAGTTTCATTTTGCGAGATGATAACTGTTTATTATTTAAGTGAAGTTTGGTGAAGTTGTCACTGATTAAAAACCGAAATCGAAAATCAAGTTTTCAGAGAAAAAAATCTGGATTTTAATTTTGGCCAAAATCGTGCAGCCTTACGTTGAGACAATCCTGTGCCTTGGTGTGTAAAAAAGTTCAGTGATGGAAAGACAGAGTCTGGAGGAGGATAGCACAAAGAAGAGACAGAGGGAGGGAGAGTGCGAATGAATATTTCTGAAGACACTGACAGCCTCTCACTCCCAGCCCTAGTTTGGATGTAAAGATGATCCTTTTATTGTCATTGTGCAATCAAACATACACACAACTTAAGTTACAAACAAGCAAATTTCAACAAATGTTGGTGTGAAAACCTCAGCGTATGTCAGAACTTCTACCGCGCTGGTGCAACAGGCCACAGCTGCCTTAACTCTCCAAGGAAACTGCCAAGAGAGCCATGACAGAGCGCTGTGAGTGAACACATACCAGCATCCTCCTCCTCCTCACTAACAGCTACAGCCCTGCGGAGTAAAATCCCCTTGTTCAGACTCTGTAATGACATCAAAGGCGTAAAGGTCCTCTAAGACACCCCTGATAGTTTAGCTCTGCATGATGGGTATGACACGATTTCCCAACGTGAGGGCAGCTTAAAAGTGAGACATTACATTTACCCGCACAGCCTCAAGTTCAGCTCACTCTCCATCCTCCCCCTCCTCCGAGCTGACCTAGACTCCCTCCCAACTGACCCCCTCTAGGCCAAGTTGGACCAAGTTAAAGGACGGAAAGTCTACCCTGGCTGCCTCCGCGTACACACCAGCCCTTCCACTCATGCCATCAATCTCCCCATCCCACCCCCTGCTTCTTCATGCTCCGGCTAATTAACTAAAAAACCAAGCAGAGATTTTATATAATTTAGCAGCAAGAACTGCCATGTCTTGATCCAGAAACACCCAGAGAGAAACATGGTGACCGGAGCCAGAAAGCACCAGGAGAGGAAGGAGGAAGAAAAATAAAACACGAGCCTCGTCTCTATCAGAGCAGGAGGAACTGAGCGCTGCAACTCTGAAATTCTCCTCACATATTTTACTTCTTCCAGGGCTACATTTTAATCAGACACACTAGCAAAGTAGTTGCAGGCCGGGCATGACTGGCGGAGGAAGTGGAAAGAGCCTGCAAGAGAAGAAATGGGGCGACGTAGAGGAAGATAGAAGCTCGATTGTGAAGGTTTTGACGGGCAGGTGGCAGGTGAGCGAGGTGTAAGATGAAAGACAGCAGGAGAGAAAGACAGAGGAATAGACTGAGAGGAGTGCGAGGGATCTGTGACCAAATGGTTCTGCGGAGTGCTCGCTGCTCGGCTGAAATCTCCTGACCACTCTCCATTAAGCTCCAGTCCAGGAAACAATATATAAAGAAAGTTCTGTCGAGGGAGAGCAGTCTGCAGAAAACAAATCCAACAAAATAACAGCTTGTCGTGGCATATTTTCCTCCTTTCATCTCGATAATACATCCCATGTAGCTCTGCAAATCCTGGAAGGACGAACAAGAATGCAAACAAGGCTCCAATATTACATGACTTCTTAAAAAAAAACAACAACAGCAAATCCTGGAGATTCTCGTACGTCCAGAGGATTTCTGCAGGATCTTTTATTTATTAAGACAGCGTGATTGCACAGCGAGGCTTACCAACGGGGTCACATTTCAAGCTGGGTTACCTATGTCGTCCCCCACCCCGCCCTCACCCTGCCTCCATTTCTCCAATAAATTCAATGCATGTCTGAATTAATGCATTACAAGGCCTGCTGGAGATATTAAAAAATGATAAAAACTAATCCCTCCTCTGCAGACCCATCTGTGGCAGGGTCCTCACACGGCGCTGACCCTGAGCATTCTCAGCCGTCTGCACCATGAGTTATGATATTTGGTGTCGCTCGGATTACACTTTAATATTTCATTACATGCACAAAATCCCGCTCTATATATCTCCCCCAGGTGTGTCGCTATTAATCAAAAGGTGTTGTGTTATCCCAAAGCTGTCTTTTACCATCAAACAGTGTGCGCCGCACTCATGTGTGAATAAGCGGAGAAAAAAACACCTTTAAGTGCATTTACAGTGTCAGTAGAAGTAATTACAAGTTGTACATGTAAATACCGACACATCAACACACACAATTTGTCTTTTCAAGAATTCAACGCTCTGTGTGAGACTGTTCTGAGTTCACACGTCTGCCTCTCGCAGCAGTAAACACGCATGAACGCGTCAGAATGCACACTGTTATATCAAACAGCAAGAGCACGAGGCCCAGCGTGTGTTTTCTCCCCAGGGAAGCCGAGACGAGGCAACACACTGACCAACGGGGCGGCGGCGAGATGCCATGACTGGTGTTCCCCCCGCCGAGAGCTGAGCTGCTCATCAGGCATGTATGAAACCAACACAGTGCCCATCATCGGGAGCCAAGCGTCCATTCTGATGAGATTTATTTCCAAAGCTCGAGTCTGCTCTTCACAGCCAGGAAACGAGACGGAGGGAGAGAGAGGCAGAGGGAGAGGGAGAAGGAGGGAGGGGGAGATTAACACACTTCTCACATCACGACGATGACAGGGGACGTCTCAAAGTGGAGCAACACCAGTGGAGAAATCCAAAGTAGGGCTGACCACTTCACACCCGGACCCTCCCTCTGCTGCTTTATTTATTAAGTCATGCAAAAGAGGACGGCAGCAGCAGAACCCCGGCGGAGATCCAGGCAAACTAACAGTTGAATACATTACCGAGGAAAACAAAGTACGTCGCCTCTCACATTAAAGGCTCGATGTTTTGATTAACAATAACAGCTTTTAAATTTTTTAAATGCAAGGCGCAATAAGACCCACATTTCAGAAGACTTGAAAAAAACTTATTTTGGAAAATAACTTTGAGAAGTTTAAGAATGGACTCTGAAAAAACACGAGAAGTCAAAGTCCTCGAGTTCAGAGCTTGAACTCATTAAACGTGGAGGTGTTTTAAAGGGATGTTTAAGAGCCTATGTCAGCATGCTAACATGCTCCAAATTATGTTCAGCTGTTATCAAGATGATCATTTGAATCATCTCACTTTGGCGTGACAGTATGATAACATCTCAGTGTATAAATGTGGTGTGAAAGTGACGATGAGTGTGAAGGCGCTTTGAAGTCTAGACAGACGATGTAGTGAGGAAGAGGACTGTGCTTGTTGAGTCAACTAAACTCAAACTTTTAAGCCCTGTAAGTCAGTCAGCGCCATAGACTGTATACAGAGTGGACGCCGTCTGCCTCCTCGCTGGGTGAAGCCACTGCAAGAACAGCACCCTCTGGTGATGGGTAGAATATAAATGTTTCTCCCCCCGGTCGTGATGTTGACATGGAGTTACTGTTAGACTAGTTTGTGCTCAAGTCCTCTGATTTCTCCATTTTTGTGCAGCTCCAGAAGTGCTGGGCTCCGATTGGTTATTCCTAATGGCTGTGAAACGTCATCTTCTGTCGGGTTAGGGTTAGGAGAATCAGAAGTGTGATAATGTTCTGTACTGCTCTCTTCAATGTACAGAGCTGACAGCCCGCGTTTGGCTTGAGCGCTAGATGAAATTTTCAGCTTTACTAGCCAATCAGAGGCGACTTTCCCCGACCAGCCTACAAAAAGAATATATTGCGAGCCGGGCATCATCACAGCGACTCTCCCGCCGAATGCATACGATGCTACTGTGTGAGTGGTGGCTCCAAGAAGTGGAGAAAATCCCTGAAATACCGAGAGCAATTCAGCTTCAAATTTGGATAATATTCAGAATTAACAGAATTATTAGTTGGTTGAAGAAATTACAATAACTGTCCTTGGTGTTGGTCCAAACGTCAGTCATGTCCAAGCTCTAGCGCAGCCACCTGCCGCTAGCTGGGGTTGTAGCTTGCTAGCTAATGCCATGATGCTTTAATGCTCTACTGAACGGATGCAAACAAATACACAGTTGATCTAGTTGTATAAAGGCCATGTCTGGTTAAACTTACAGTTAAACATTCATTCAGAAAAATGTAAAGCTAATGCAGGCATGTGGGCGATGACCTGCAAAGACTGAAGGCTGCTGGTGCTAGCTCTGCTGGTGTTAGCAAACCTGTCCTGATGCAGTTTACCTTTTCTAAATGTTCTCTTGCCTCTGGACGAGTTTTAATAGGATTTAAATTTCTGTTTAAATTAACAGGAAATCAGTCACCTCTGGTTTCTTTAGACAGGATTCAGAAAGAAAATGAATTTTCCAATGACACTTTGATGGACAAGAGTAAGAATATGAGCTTTCGGTGACGATTCTCCTGAAGGACTTTTTACTTGATACCGAGTTTCTTGAATATACTTGCTTAGAATAAAGGTTAGAATAAAACATTCTAAATCTATATTAATTATGATTTAAAAAGAGGATATTGTCAGTCATGAGCATGTTAGAACATGAAGATCAGAAATGAGGCGCTCACATCCTGGAATAGAGAATACTAAAAAAGTAAAAAGTATTAAAAAAAAGAAGCTTCGTCACTAAATAATGAGTACACTGACTAAAATGTAGCTGTGTAATTAAAATATAGTTAAGTATGTGTAAATATGAAGTGTGTATGTACATTTACACACGCATGAAGTGAGGATGGGAGTGACCTCTATTGCACAGCTTTGGTGATAACGGATGGAGTTGTGCTCTTATCTGTGTTGAGGACATGGCGTGTTGACAGATGTGCGCCCTGTTAGTCCACAGCGTTCTGGAGCCACGACACACCCAGCTGTAATGTTTATCTACATCAGCTAAGTGTTCATTTTCCATCCTCTCTGCCTCACGCCTGTAACACCTCAACAGTAATTGCTGTGTAATAGACGAGCTCTTTGTCTATCACACTCCAGCTCTGACAACATGAAGAATCGGATACTCGTGTTCCCCTGCGTTTTTACCCACTGTTACCTCTCCTCCGTGTTCGGCGCTTGAGGGTAATTCATTTTATTCTGAGCATGCACGTCTGTGTCACATATCTTTGCAGCAAACGGATTACAAGTAATATTCTCAAATTGATTCCTTTTCAGGCGTTATCGTCTCCACAGACATTCCCTTCTTTTTGCCCCCCGCAACTCCTCTCACGGAGCAATTTTCCATAGTCGCTCCATCCAGCTCTGTGAGTCATACTCAGTGCTGTTGTAATAATGGCTGCCCATCCATTGAGGTAGACAGGGATGCATTAAAATGCTGCGTGAGTGTGTGTTTTGCAGGGTGAGTGGAACTCAGTGCAGGACAGATCAGGTGTGGTTATTTTGACCTGGACCGCCATATGTGCCTTTCCTGCTCTGCTGTCACCCTCCTCCCGTTTACTCTGGGGGGGGAGAAAGGGGGAGTCAGAGGGATGGAAAAGGCAAATAGAGGAGGTCGGAGAGGAAAAAGAAGATACCAAAGATAAAGATTGTCCAATCTTTCTTACTTCCCCCTTCGTATCCCAGGCTGGCAGTTGCATAGAGAGCCGTGTCAGAGGCTGGTGGATGTATGAGGCCGTGAGATGTGAGACCCTCTTGGGGTTGAGGCAGCAGCTGTGCACAGACCTTCTTCTCAAGATCATCCTGGCAGTGAAAGCCGGGTCTCTTGGTCTGATGTGGAGCCCAGAGTTCTGCTTCTGTCTCAGTCTGACCGCATTTCTACTGATGCACAGGAACTAAGTTTTTCAACACAAGGTCAGGGATGTTTCATGCTTATTTTAAAATATATACTTCTCAGTGACACTTAAGTTGGCTTGGCTTTGCTTTGGGTTAGTTTCAACCTCGAATTTGTGTCTTCTTTGACTTTTTTCTTCTTCCTTCCCGGCATTAAAAAGATGTTTTTTTATTTTTTGCAAGTTTCCATAACTAAGAGGTTAGAGCAGTAATGAGTCTGGTCTCATTTCAGCTCTGAGTTAAAGTTCACAGGCTCTAATTTGGGGACATATATGACCTCAACTCTGCTGCTACTCTCCCTATACTTCCAAAAACTGCCCTTTACTCAGGATGCGACTCTTCCCTTGTGCTTTGCCACATTTTATGAACAATTATTTCACTTTCAACTCTACTCGAACATGGAAATGACTGATAGAGCTACTAATATCAAAATGCAGCTGACATCTCGATGCATCTTCACTTTTGATCGTTCATAAATCACAGTCAATCTTGGTGCTGATGGTCGTGTTTGCTTCTGGATATAATGAAAAGGCATCAGTATGAATTTCAGTCTATTTCATGAATGTGAAAAAAATCCTCATAGCAGCTTTAAAGCAGCGGTAAATATAGCTTTTACATATTGGACAAGAAAATGACCAAAACAGCCTGATTACATATTTGTATATGGTAAAGGACTTGTACTTAGATAGTGGTTTTCTAGGCTTCACCCCCACTCAAAGTGACTCTACACTCATCATTACATTCACACCACATACATGAACTGATGACATAGGATGCTGGAGGAGGAGGAGGATATCTGTGTTAACTAATATCGTCATACACAGCACACACAGCTGACTGAGTCATCGAGAGCAGAGTGGGTTCAGAGGAAACATGTGACTGTGGGAGCTGTGACTGGACCACTAACCATCCAGATTAGAGATAAATGACCTGACCACAAAGTTACAGCCGCAGAAATTGAGAAAAAACTCAACTATTCACTGCATATCCCTGCTTTGAAACATGATGTTTTTTTTCTATATTATGTTAACCAACTAACAGATGCAGTTAATCCTCACTGGCTAGTGGCATCAACAAATACATTTTTGTAGATTTCATTTAATGAAGCACACATTTGTGCAGCTGGTCTGTATTCCCACATATATCTTCTAATAAACAGCCAGCTAAACAGAAGACAAACATTATATTGAAGATTATTCATTATTATTAGGGATGAACAACACAACTTCATCAAGTTACTAATAAATGGAATGTTTCTGATTTACTTCTGAAGAATTTCTCATTCCTCTGCATCACCAGTGAATCTGTGTAACTTGCCTGATTTTGTATGAATGAATCCTTCAAAGATTAAGCTTTAGTTATTGAACAAAATTTGATAATTTTTTGTTTTGGGTTGACCTAGCAAGAGGTAAAGACAGAGAGCAAGTATGCAAAAACTATAACCTTAATATCTTCAAAACTATGGACTAACTAATACATTAACCCACTGCACAGTGTTTGGGCACAAAGGACTTATCTATGCAGATCAAAATCCTTTTTTAAAGACCCACTCCGATGAAAATCATGTTTTTCTTCTTCATGAGTAAAAAAAGAGTGCAAAATTGCATTTTTGCGTATTTCTGCGTTCAAATCACTAAGAATCTCTGGTAGACCCAAACGGCAGGTTCAGATGCAGTGAGATTTCATATGTCACAAATCCAAGCTCCGCCCCAGGAGCACCGCTGCGCAAGCCAGACTCTGAGAAATAGACAGGACGATAGCGGAACAAGCGTGTGCGTTAGTGGATTGCAATGCTCGTAAGAAAGCTAAGTATGATATTAGCTTTCATCATGTCCCTAAGGACGTTAATGTCTGAGAGCTGAATAGCTCGTATGTTACCTGCCGCTTCTACTACACCTGCAATGTTAGGCTGCAAGCTAGCATGAAGAGGGGTGTGCAGAGCAGCGCTGTCTCCGCCCACAACTCAGAGGCGAATTGCTAATGATGTACTGGAGCTCTGCAGAAGAAAAGCCCTTAAAAATGACACAGGTAACGAGATTTTGGCTAAAAACTTCATAATCACAATTTAAAGATCACTGAGAACACTCTAAGAAGTAAAAAAAATGATTAGAGTGGGACTTTAATCACGCTGCTACTTTGTTTATTTTAACTACAAAGGTCACCTTTTTAGAATGGGTGTGTATGTGGTTTTGAGTGCTTTTGCAGCCAGCCTCAAGTGGACACTCGAGGAACTGCAAGAGTTTTTGCACCTCCACATGGGTTTCATTTCACAGGCTGTCACTCGTCTCAGATAAGTTTTCAAATGTACATTCACTTTTAATAGATGCTAAAAAATGCTACAACCCCTTACTAGTATTGAGGGTCCTAAAAAAGTTTTACAGAGATCAGCCTTGACTTGACTTTCTTAAGAATACAAAAACAGAGTTTTACTTTTCTTTTATCTGTGTTTATCTGACTAATTCCCCTCGGTGCTACTCAGTGGTTTTGTTTTCATTAGCTGGGGCATGACTTTAACACCTCCTAAAAGACCCAAGCTTTATCAACAGCATGATATGACAGCCTTATCTTCATGCAGCACAGTTTCTGGCTTTGGTGCAAGTTTATTTGGATGCTACCGTGACTTGGCAACAAGCCTCAGTCAATATCAGCATTCCCATACATTGTCCAAAAGACAATAATCTGATAGGGCTTTGTGTATCTGGGAGTGTATTCAAAGTTACCATACAGCTATGCAAACACAATCTGTGCACCCACTCCAAGGCTCCAATCTCAGCATTATTTGAGTTTTCGCTTATTCTCATATGTTGCACTGTCATGAAAGACTCTGATCTTGGTTGGATTCTCTTTTGGTTCCTCTGACACAGAAAAGAAGCTCAGGCACCATAAATTCAGACAGTTAGGTAAGTTAATCTCTGGACAAAAAGCCAACGGGTGTATTTTTCCTCTGTCTGAACACTGCTGTAAACGGTTACTTTATAAACCTATTTACGATTTTATATAAACTTGAGCTTTCTGGAACAGGACACGAGCCCAGACGAGACAGGCGGGGACGTTTTATTCAAGTTGTTTGCTTCTGCTTCTGATTTCCATATTTTTCCTTCCAACATAAGAGCTTCAACCAATTGCCAGTGTTATTTGCAGTTATGTGAAAGCCCACCATCTGGCATTCACAACGCAGTCGATCCAAACCAAAGCAAGACTCTTCAGACAGCTGGAGGCTAGTTTGTTAAATTAAACAGAAAAATTAACTTGATTTTTCACTAAATCTTGCCTTTTTCTCACTGCGAGTACCTTGTCCTATTTAAAAAGGCGTTTCGAACAGAGTAAGTGCGCTAACAGCTCAGACAAGGGAGAAAAGGAGAGCAAATAATTTCAATTAAAGTGCTGCAGAACAAGGAGTTTAGTGGAAATATCAATCATTTCTCTGTTTGACTGTGAACAAGAGGTGAAAACTCAAGGGTGAGTGGAGGGAAACAATAGATCATATAAATCCAGTGAGACAAACAAAAACCTGAAGCTCCCTGTTTGTGCACAGGCTGTTAGAAATACATCTGTGACCATCTTAAGGCCGTTTTTTTCTACCTCTAAAAGCAACTCAAAATGATACTGTTGGCTTATTACTTCATGGATTACTCTGCTTCAGCATTGTTTTTGATTTACTCATGTGTCACTCAGCTTTCCTGCTGCTTTTATCTCTTAACTGCGTCCAAACTCCGTCTGCAGGTTTTACTGGAAAAGCAGAATTTTTAAACTTGATTCTGATACCAGTATTTGATTTTGCTCCAGAAAAAAAGCCTAATTTTAAATAAAAATTCAAGATGCAGCAACCATGTTGCAATCCAATCCACAAAGACCATTGTACTTCAGATAATCCCAAACATATATCTCCATCCTTTCTTTTGAATTTCTGTACAAAACTACTTTATTTTCACTCCATGCAAAGAATACACAAAGAGGATGTGCTCTAGGAAACCCCTTAGCCTTACGGTGGGTCATGTCCAGCCAGTGTATTTGAAACAAAAGTATATCTTAGAAAAAAATTTGTAAAAAACATCAGTGTAAATCTTTAATTTGGAGGTTTTTACTGTGCACCTAAACAAAAACAGTGAGGTTGGAAAGTTGAAAAATACGAAAGACAACAAAAGTTCATCTATCACATGGTGTTTTATCTTGTTTCGTCTCACAGTGGCCTAGCCTAGACATAAGTTGATATAAAAGCAAATCTTGCTAAATGGGACAATAAGTATTGTTCAATGACAGCTTTGAAGTGGTATAGCACCACCTGCTGAACTGGAGTGGAACAAAAAGAGAGGATTTAGGACATTCATGAAAGAAATACACCCAATCAAACATAGAGGATGTATGGGTTTGATGGCTGGATGAGTCTGCATTACATATCCCTCATCCTTTCATCAACATTCATTGGCTTCATGTTGAAGATGTAAGCAGTCAGATTTGTGTCTTTTTGTTATCATTTTTGATGTCTACAGTGTCAGACCATAGGGTGAAGCCATCACGAGAACAGCACCCTCTGGTGACGGGCTGCGGTATAGGTCATAAATCCCGCCTCCTCCAGCAATACCTATGGAGCTGTGGACAAACTTTATAAGTTTATTACACAGAATATAACTTAAAAAAAAAAAAGTTCGTAGGGGGTTCGTGTTTTCTATAATTGACACTTGATACAGCCTATGGACATATAAAGATTGTGTGGATCACCCTGGGGATCACAGTGACTCTCCTGCATATAATGCTACTGCACAAGTGGTGGTTCCAGGAAGTGGAGAAAACCCCGGAAATACAGAGAGCAATTCGGCCTCAAATTCGTATAATGACGACAGGCGGAACCAAGTTGTCTATAGTATATACAGTCTATGTGTCAGACGCTCTGTCAGTCTGTTTGCCATGAAACTCTGTACAGATATCCATTTCTCAGCTGTGACTGGATTACAGTCACTTTTAATTACTGTGGTGACTTTCTGTCTTTTCTTGCCCCTCGATCAGGTAAAATTCAAGAACATGTCAGGGACTCTGACAAAACCTGCAAAGCTGATCAACTTCTAGTTCAGTCGATGTAAGTCCCTCTGCTCGATGTAAATAATGTGAATGATTTGGTATCACTGAGGACATGAAGGGGATTCTTAGTTCTGTGTCCTAAAAATTCAGCAAACAGTTTATTTTTTTTTAACGTCAATAATTTTGTCTTTCACTTTAATTTTTTAGTCTTCGATGCATGAAAAGCCTTTTTAGATCCACCTAGACTGAACCGGAAAGATTCACAATGAGACAAACTCAGGAGAAACCTCTGGATGGAGATGTCTCTGATGGAAAATCTCACACAGAAAAATAATCTTAAATTAATAAAGAACATAATTCATTGGCTCAGGGACTTGCTGCTGTTCGTAGAGATCATTTCCCTCTTTTTTTTTAACCAAGGATACTTAATACTCACAGCTTAACTGGAAAAGCTCCCATGTGCACATTAGACTCAGTGTGATTTAATTATCTGAGCTTATCTGACTGGCACTGATTTCAAAGTAGAGGACCACTCGAACATGTTTGTTACATTAGATTAAATCTTTTTATTCTGCTGACAATATCTGGATTAAAAATTAAGAGGCCTACTTTAAATCAAACTGTGTTGTGACAGTGACTTTTGTGTTGTTTATCTTTAACTTTGATCGCTCGAAAACAGCGCTGGTTTGAAGTATGGCTGTCTGTACTGTGAGGCAGCTTCCACAGAGTCTTATTTCTGAACATCACGTCGATCCTGTCTGGAACTAGGTTCTGATTTGGGTCGTGACTTTAAAGAAGTTTATAGGACCCAACTTAAAAAGCAGCTCCAGAGCCAGTAGCATGCGTGACAGTAAACACAACATCCCTCTCTTTCCAGCTGTTTCCTGTCTGCCTGCAGAAGTGTGATCTGCCTCAGCATGAAAACCTCAGACCCATCTGCTCTGCTCCACACTGCTGAGGAAGAAGCTGCTTCAAGAACCTCTGGACTTAAAAAAGAAAAGGTAAAATCTCTGATACATTCGCTGTTAGGGGACCAAAACAGAAAAAAAAGATTCATTTTTCATTCTCTCACTGGTAAACATATAGACATAAACATGAACTTCATCTCGTGCTTTCGTCCCACTCTCTTCTTTGCTACAACGCTCTTGAAATCGACACCGAGGAGAGGGTATCCAGATAAAAAACATCACACCTAACATATTTTCTCTTACTTGAAAATATCGACCTAGCTGGGCCTTCAAGCTGTGAGGTTACACAGCTTTCCCTTTCAAAATAAAACACACAGAAACATCAAACTTTCAATCCCTAAACATAAAGATACTGCTTAATTTGAGCCTTTACACCTTACTGCTTAACAGAAGTGTGCAGATGAGATTTGTAATACTTTCCTTTTCTTCTGCTCAATTATGGAAGAAACTATTTTTCCTCTTGAAGTCCCAAATTCAACTTAAAAAATTAATCTCATGTTATCAAATGTGATGCTTTGATATCTATTCACTTAAAAGTGAGGAAAAGGTGAAATTTAAGTTTTCTCTCCATCAAATAAAGCAGTGAAATGTCCTCTTACACATGAATGAATCATATTATAGGATATAAAAGCTATAATCTGGATCATTATTCTGAATTATGTGTGTGATTTTTTAGCTAATGTGACTTTATCGATTGTTTTAATGCAGGGGTTCATATTGTTTGGGAGGAGCTGCTGCGTTTACTTTGGTTAAGGGTCTGAGAACTTAAAGCACCGGTGAAGATTCGCTCTGAGATTCAGAGAAATATTAAACAGCAATAAAATGCATTCAGAGTGAATTACACAAAGCTTTACTCTGAGCCACACAAACCTTTGACATCCACATTTTAACACGAACCAGCACTCCAACAGATTGCGAACCAAAACCCTCAAAGCGCCTGAGACACTCAGCTCTGTTCACTTCTTTTCCTTTCTGCCAAAAAATTAAACATTTCAGCTCCTTTTCTGGAAATTTAAGTGAAGTTGAGCTGCTGGTGAAACAAAGGGTGAACATGTTTTGCAGAAATCTGATTATTTTTCCCCTCTCAATTTTAATGATTAATTTCAAAACGGTTAAACAGTTGTGGCATTAAAAGCTTATTATAAAAAAATGATCTTGATTCTTTAAAAAAAAAAAAAGAGATTTAATTAGGCGCCAAGTGTTCGCTCATCGCCATCATGAGCTCCATAACCTGAACAGTGATGACAGATGCCCGTGCAAAGCAGACCTTACTCCACTATAATGATGTTTCATTTTACATTAGTCTGAAATATACGACATCTTCACACATTCAAATGAAATTTCCCCTCTTCTCACGGCTAATACAAAGCCCGAGGAGGATCTATTCACTGCACAGAGCAAGCGATAACTCATTTTAAAAGTAATGGCTTGTCAAAAATGGGGCAGAGGGCTGCAGAAAGGGGAGAAAACAAATTAAATAAAAATGGATCGTTGCTTAACCTTAAGCAAACCATGTTGAAATCCATTAAAATACGGCATGAATCAGTGGCTGGTTTTTTTAGGTTAAAGAATGCTTTGATCTCTGGGAACAATTTCAGAGGCAATAGATATCAACCCTAATGTGATTGCTTCTGTCATCATGATTCAACAGATTACATATCTAATCGGTTTGTGAACAGAGAATATAATTTGCACAGATTACAAACCCAGCGGTGCTTCCTCCTCCTCCTCCTCCTGTTTGGTGAAACTGGGCCGCTTGACAGTTTAGATGATCCAAAGACGGACAGATGGATGGACGAAAAGACAGCGAGTGGGAGGGAAAACCACCAACCACCTGGTTTAATCCGTGGTGGAAAAAACATCTGATCCTGCTCTGGTGATGATGGCTCAGATTTTTTTTTTTTTTTGGCGTGAAGATGTGCACAACATGTGGGCACGGGTAAACGTGATGCACAGAAACACACACTCACACACAGAGATTTCAGCGAGACTGAAATGCAAAGCTATGCACAATATCTGAGACATGATTGCAAAGGAAGTGGGACTATATATAATGAAATTAAAGTGACTCAGGCGCTGTAATATCCCTGGGGTATATAGCTAGTTGTTTTATGGGGGGAGATAAGAGGATTTTGTCAGGTTGAGATGCCGGCTAATGCTATTGTTCCTACTGGGAGCATAAAACAGCAAAGGAGCTTTTCACACATCTTTTCTTTCTTTGTAGTCCTGTTACTGTAGATATCATTTCAAAGCATAAGGTGGGAAAAAAAATCATAATATTGCAGCGTTGGACATCATATGCAGGGAGCGCAGCGAGAACCCACCCACTAAATGTTCTTATCCGAGTGTGGAGACCAATTTATTCGGGAAAAGATGTTTTAAACGAAGTTTTCTGTCAGGAAAAAAAAAGGATTTTGAAATATTGGGCAGAAATTCTCCTTTTATCTTTTCATCACTTTTTTCTATTCTTCACTGAGGCGCTCACAAGTACACACCAAGGCCTCGAAGAAGCTGCTTATGACCAGTTTTTACCAGAGAGCATGAAATTTAATCAAAAAGATGGCTAACATGAACTTTTCTTCCCTTCTACTGCAAACCCGTCTTCACTTCTCCTCTCCTCCCAAAGATACATTAAACTTGTCACATTAGATCACCAAGTCATCTGCGCCACACAGGTGCTGAAAACAAACTCATTTATCCGTCATTTACGCCTCAACGAAAAACAGGAGAAAAAATAAAATGTAACATGATCCCAAACGGCACATTACTGAAATGTGTGGCTGATATAACCTGATAATAACCAAGTCTGGAATTTGAGGTTGCACTCTCACACGGAAGAGGCAGAGCAGCGCCAGTTTGCACGAGAAATGATTTGCATTCAATCTTCAGAAGAAGTGCAGGTGCTATTACCTGTCACAATCCAGCCTCACCCCAATCTGCCAGCAGCCAACAGCGTGTTTTTAAACAATCGCATGCCAAACAAACCCGCCATCAAGTCTCAGTTTTCTCATGTTAAGAGGAAGGGACTGAGGGGGCCACAGAGCTGAAAATCCCGACTTTAAACCTGTGAAATTCTCTCATTCAGATGTGTTTTTATTTTCTTGTCAAACTATCAGGTTTAAAAGTCTTTATAAAGAGTTTTCCTCACAGTGGCAGGTTATTTTTTACAACTGTGATTGAAGATACACTTAACAGGTTTTAATGAAAATCAGTTGGGGGGAAAATGATCTATAATGGAAGAGAAGGAAGTCAGAGGTGAGGAGGGGGATCATGGAGAAAAGTCATGTTTTAATTCTCTTTCATTTCTCACTGAGGCCAAAGAAACCCTGAGCAGCTCCACATGGCGTGTATCAGCCGGAGCAGGCTGTCTTCTATTGTATTCCTCCTCTATTGTACAGTATTGTATTCTGTTGTGTGTGAATGTGTGTATAAAATAACTACATTATAACTCTGAGTGGAAGGCAATCAGGAAAACACTCGGATGTAATGCGCAAAGATGAGCGTGCGCGCACATTTACGCACGCTCGCTTTAACCCACACATTATCAGCAGCTGCAGCAGAAGCATCAGAGCTGAACTAGGCACACAAACTCTTTGCCATAGCGATGCTGAGATAATAAAACAAGCCACGGGCGTGTTGAACTTCTGAAGGAAAATTAGAGGAAGTTGCTGCGAGCGCGAAAAAAAAGAGATAGATAGATGGAGATAAAGGAGGGGCTGCTGAAGTGGGAGTTAAGGGGAAACGCTCAGTGAGCAGAAATCTGCGCGTTCAGTCGTTTTTTTAGTCTCTTCAAACTGAAAACAAGCCAAATATTCTGAATACATATGTGTCTTTAAGAATATACAGCTGGTGTAAAGATTTTATAACTTTTAACTAAGTTCGGGTGCGCAAAAATCCTGCAGGGATCTCGCAAATTCAGCTGAAATGCAACGGAACAATCAAATCTGCAGGTTATAATTTGACCTTATATGATAGAGTTTTCCATTTCAAATTTTAAAAACTCAAAATCTTGCTGGAGGATTTAGAAAGAACTGATCCCCTGATATGAAGAAGCAGGTGTTCCCCTCTAAAGGCAACAGCCCCGGAACTCCGCAGAAGGATTCATGTGAAAAATGTGACCCCAAGAGTGATTATCTCCACAGGGTGGATGTGAACTCACCTTCCGTAGGATCCACTGGCAGAGGAGAACTACGGTCCAACCGAGAACCTGCATGTCACCGTCCTTAACGCAGACCACCCCGAAAAAACTACACGTCTCCCCGGCTGGACATAAAAGACGCACCGCGGAATCCAAGCAATCCCAACAGGCGGACGACAGGTCGAAAAAGTGTTAAGACAGCAGGAAAGCGGGCGTGAAGTTGTGCGTTAGTTCAGTCAGAGTCGCGGTGGGTTCTGAGGGCAAACTTTGAGCGGTGTGTTCAGCTCCTGTGGTCCGCCTCATGAGGCACATCCACGCTGTCTGCCTCCGCTCATGCTGCTGCGCGTGTGCTGGAAGTTTGCGCGGAGACGAGGTCAGCTCGGAGGATGGAGGCGAAGAAGGGGGTTCACTGCAGATCATCAGCGCTTCTTGTGTTTTAGGACACTGGCTGGTTGATTTACAGGGATGAGATCCCGCTTTTCTCTCTCTCTTTTTCTCCCCCTCCCTCCCCCCACTCCATGCGCGCGTCACGGCGCGCAGCAGCGCTCATTTATTGGCAAGCATACTGACCACAGCTGCATGCTTGTATTTTCTTTGGATAACGAGGTGACTGTAGTCTGCTTTGTACTTAATTAGAAAGAGAGGTGCTTAAAAGTGTTGAGGGTGCCTAAAAGTAAACGTAACGTAAGAGAAGAGTCAAGGAGAGGCTGGAAATAAGAATTTTTATGTCCCAAAATGCACTTTTTTCTGTCATAGAGATGAAATATTCTGTATAGAATTAATAAATTGACTAAAGAGTATTTTATATGCTATAAAAAAACCTTTCAGATGAACATTTCAGATGCAAAATATAACTCATTCCCTTTCCAAATACGGCAGAAATTTGAATATATTCCATTTGCAGTTTTAATTTGCAGCAAAAATGATGCTTGTTTTGTTGCAGCTGTGATTTGCTCCCTTTTCTCATTAAAACCCCCTCCCCAACAATATCCACTTCAGTCGGAGTAATTTGTAAAAAAGTTGCCCTTTCAGTAAAACTATAACTTAAAAATTGATGAACTAATTCAGACATTCAGCCTTCACTTGTGTACAATGTTTTCTCTCTTCTATCTGCATTCACACATTCAAGGAAAAACCAACCAAACAGGAATGAACTTGAGTAAAGACTCCACAGATTTTCTGTTTAAGATTCACTCCATGTTCAGTCCTTACACTGACTACAATAGTATGTAAATCGGCCTTACCTAAAGTCTACGAACACACTGCAACCGAGAGAAAACAATCATTATCTAACACAGAGACCAGAACCTTGACTGCTCGGTTTCACTGTGAGTGTGAGTGTGTGATGGAGGCCAGCAGCACAAGCTGGCCTGACTATAAATTCCCAGAAAAACAATTTTGAAATATTAATGTTGCATGGATATATTGGGGCAGCGTGGCCCCACATCTCTCCCTGATGGCCGGTCCCAGCTGCTGCTTGCCTGATTGTGGACCTTTAAAATGAACTGATCTGGGATGCACACAGTTTGTCTGTGCAGAGATCAGTGTCTGTGTGAGTGAGAGAGAGTGTGTGTGTGTGTGTGTGTGTGTAGGGTTATATAATGCTGTCAATCAGTCATGTGGATCTGCTGAAAAGACGGTGGACGTCTCCTCTCTGTATAGGCGCAGTGTGTCGACTTTCCCGACTGTGTACAATGAAGTATGTCCTCTGTGGAGATCTGCACAGCTAACAGTGTATCTACCTGTCCGTCTTTGTGCTTTTGGAAACATTTACAGCGACTTCAGAGTATTTAAGGTGAAAGTTAGCCTACTTTTCACTGCCTCTCTTCCAAAAGAGTTATATTTATCCTTCATTTAAAACAAAACAGGACTCTCTCAGGAGTATCTGAGCTCACCTGCTGCGTGTCCTCACTCCTCTTTGACAAAGGCAGATTTCTGGACTGCCGGTCTGCCTGTTGATGGCTTCAGAGCTGATAGTAAAGTCAGGCTGCTCGGTTCAGTCGCCCCCCCCTGTCACAGATGGAGAGGAGTGTCTGTGTAAAATGAGCTGCTTTGTGGTTATGTGCAGCCCTATACTATATGTGTATATTAGCAATCTGTTAGAACTCTTTGAAAAGCAGGATTTCTGCAGTGTGTCACAGCACTGCCTCCCTGCGAGGCAAACAGTCATTACATGCAAAGACAAACATTAAAGCGGAGGAGGCTTGAACGTGTTCACATGGGAGTGGAGTGGAGTGGCACACTGATAATTACAGCTACACATACAAAGAGCTGTAAATGCTACAGGAAACAGCCGAGATGGTTGTTTGTTCCTGAAATCACTGAATTTCAGGCAGCACTGTTTGGCCCTTTCCTCCATTTGCATAACCTGGCAAAACACCAAGAGAAAATCACTGCAGGGTCAAGAAGAACATCCAGAGTTACAAATGTTTGCCACAATGAAATGTGATATTTTCAAACTAAAGGCAGGAGAGGATTCAGTTTAACCCAATATGTGAGACAATCCTGTTGTTTTAACACGGTATTTGATTTAAGATCAAGTATGTTTTTAGTCATTTTTACATAGTTTATTCCAAATTCTGTTTTTTTTCTTCTTTTGACTTATGTGATTTAGTGGTATATGTGATGTTTGTTTATTTAACCCTTTATTAGTAAAGCAGAGGACAGGCTATAAGAAGAGAGAGAGTGAGGAAACTACGCCGTACTATATAATGGGGATGAACACATTAAGTCAACTGAACATGAATTACTGGTGAATTAAGCAAATTATTGATATTTTTATGATTGCAGGTCCTGAAATGTTGTTCATTTATTGTGTCTCAGTGAAGCCACTAGCTGAGGCTACAGCTCTTGTTTACTGCTAGTGCCATAATGCATTACTACCAGGATGTAAACACACACAGATGACAGACGGCGTCTTATAGCACAGAGGAGTTTGTCAGTATCCAATTGTTGGTAAGCAGAATAATGCACAACTAGCACAGGTTTGCATCACCTGCATGAAGACTAAAGGTTGGTGGTGCAGACTGTGATCCTGTGTTTGCCCGTGTTACTGTCATTGTGCTAAATTTAGTCTGTTTACTGTTTGGTTTATTACCTTTGGACTAGTTGGTGTATCAAAACTTATATTTGTGTTTAAATAACTGTTGGGAATTTGTCAGGGAAAGTATGCACGTATTTTGGGTGCTATCATGTAGGGGTGTGCGATCTGATGATCTTAGATTGCTAAGGATTAAAAAGTGACGATGATCTGCCAAAGCACAGAAATCGTAGAGTGCGGATTGAGTCTCTTACGTGTCTAAATAAATGCCCTGCTTATTCAAATCAAAATTTAAGAGAAAGCACATTTTAATTTGACCACAAAATAAATGTGTTACAAGTTGATAAAAGTAACTAGTAGCGGAAAAATTTATGATTTTTTTTTCCATATCGCCCACCTTTACTGTCATGTCATCCTTTTTTAAACTCTCCATGATTCAAACATGTTCAAATCATGAGGATATCTCAGCTACTAAACTATGAACGGAGCTGTGAAAACAAAACCCAGATTTCTGATCTCAAACGAGCTCACATGTCTACTCGGGCTGCATGATTTTGGCAGATTTTTTTCTCTGAAAACCTGATTTACCGTTTTGATTTTATATTCAGTGACAACTTCACCAAACTTCACTTCAGTAAGTTTTTCTATCATCTCTCAAAATGAAACCACTGAAAACAATGTAGTGCATACGCCAAGCCAGTAAGCCGAGGAAATGCACAAAAGACACGCGCAGGCGCCATAAAAAAAGTTACACTGTGTGTCACATAATCGTTTCCAGAGATGCAGATAGACATCCACACAGAGATGAAATGGTCGTTTACAGATTTATAAACTCTCTGACCCGTTTTCGAAAAGTACAGTTAACAGTCACCAAAACGCCATCCGTGTGGATGAAACGCCGATACGACAAAAAAAAAATGCGTTTACTCCTGAATGTGTTTCCGTGTGGACGGGTTGATACCGCCTTCAGACAGACTTTGCTCTTCATCTGAAACTGCAAAGCCGTACCAATTCAACACAAATGACTTGCTCTTGCCCTATTTGGCCACAAAATTATCGCCTTCTTTTGCCATGTTTGTTTACACTGGTATGTGTGAGAACTGGGGAGCGCTCTCGCAGGAAGGGGGAGCCTACGGTGGCCTGGAGATGCAAGACATGATAGAGAGGAAAATCGATTTGACGATTTTCATTTTTTTAAACATCATAATCAAATAATCCGATTATGATTTAAAATCAATTAGTTGTGCAGCCCTAATATCGAGATGTGAGACTAAACTATACAGCCCGGCTGTTGTACAAGAAACCTTCTAAATGCAGGTAGTTTGAGTGAAGTTGAAGTAGCACTTGTCCAAGAGCAAACTTTGGTCAGTTTGTTGTATGTAAACAAAATCTCAATAGGGATAGTGTTTTATAAAAGGTAAATCACACAATACATCAGTCAGATCAAGTCTTTCTGGATCCCTGAGACTCTAAGAAGGCGAGTTACTCTTTTGTTTCTGTCTATCTCTCAGCTGCTGTAAATCCGAGTGTTGCAGCCATCGCTTCATCTTGAGCCGACCATGAAACACTGTCTATCAAACACAGTGGGTCTCAAAGAATGTGACCGTTTCCCATTTCCATCTCCGCCCTCCATTCAATCTACTGTCTGTGATTTGTAGTACCACAACACACCTTGTCCCCCCTGTTTCCTCTATATTTTTCCTCTCTGTCGAATAGGGTCTGCTGGTGAGGGTGCAATTTCTGATCCACATTGGAAGTGGCAGCTGAATTTCGCCCAGCTGCTCCCCTCCTCTGTTCCACTTAGCGGCGGCGCTCCCGTTCAGAGTCACTCGGCCGCTGCGCAGTGATCGTAAATGAATGAACATGCTCCGAAGAAGAGCTGAGGGCATCTACTCCAACGAAAACCATCCTCACATCATTATTCCACTTTTTCCCTCTTCACACATCAGAATAAAGTTTGATCATCTGCATAACTGCACACTTTGAGTCCATCATTTTCATATTTTCAAACAAATAAGAATAACTATGTGGGTTATAGTCAGATCTAAGTGCATTCAGAGGCTCACATACCTCTAACTATTCACCTAAATGTTCTTCTGCTGACGTCCTGCAGTGATTTAGGAGAAATGCAGGTGGAAATGCAAGCGAGGTGCAAGTTCAGCCGTTTCTTCCACCTGTTCAATGTCACGCTTCAGTTTGACCCTGAGTAGAAAAGTTCTTTTTCGTCTTAACACTGAAAAAATTCAGATGCTATTTGAAGAACCTCTGTTGACAAATCACAGTGAGCTCAGTTCTTGGCTCGGAATAAAATGGGAATGCACCAAAAACTTTTTTTTAGTTACTTTCTCGAAATTGCCAGAAGAATAAGTTGTGCAGTTTGGCAGCTTACTCATGGCAAGCTGGTAAACAACTTGATCCAAACACACACCGAGCAGAACTTCGAGACCAATCAGCCATAACATTACAGCTACGAACGGGTGAAGCTGTTTTTTTTGTCTCTGAATTTGCACATTGG